GGTTCCTCGGAACAAGCAGTAAAACCATCTGAATTTGGACGAGAAGTCGCCATAAATTTTTAAATATTAATGTTCTAATATAGTACATTTTGTTTAACGTATTGGAACTATCATGCATCAATTTTTTGGTGCCAGCTATTTGCCCAACCTATCTTATAATGTTAAGAGATGAAAAAAGTAAATGTATAATATTTTTGCTGTAATCAGTAGTGATTGTTCACAGGATACAGTGCTTTTTAAGTTATATTCTCAAATGCTAGTATTGCATCTTGTGGGTTTGTCTTTGATTTTTAGTCTCACAGCAAAGAGATTCTCCCTCTTCTGTTCTCCACCAAAATGAATTCAATCCTTTAGGAAAGTCTTTGTAAAAACACTAAAGGACCTGTATGTTTTTGATTTGTTTCAGGAATTAAAATTGTCGCTTACAACTTTGTTTTGTCCTTTGGTGATAACGTGGACTTGAGTTTCCCTAAAATTTTAACTCACACTATTTAAATAAAACTTTCATCCTTCTTTTCAGTCTAGTGAATGGTTTAGGACAGGAAAGGATACCGAAAATCTATTGACCCTATTTTTGTTGTTAATTTTTGTCATGTAAATTTTATGTACTGCTCGTTCTTCCCTAGCAGCAGTGTGACATGCAGCTGTAGCCAGGTGCAACAGATACTTCCCTTAGGATTTCAGGGTTTTTTAGGTTAAATGACCCACTAATGGTTCAGAAAAAGCTGCATTTGGATTTGAGGATATTTCTAGAAGCTTAGTTCCCCCAAAATGGGAATCTGTGGTGAACTATCTGTAACTGCATCCTCACTTTCCTTTTTGTAGAGTGAAAAAATATAACAGCTTTTAATTCTGAATCCTTTAACTCAAATCCTTTTTTAAACAGATTGAAAAAAAACAAAACAAAACAAACAAAAAAAAAACCAACCCACGACATTTTAGGTGAAACTGTTCAACAACTTAGTTTTGAAAGTTGTTTGGAATTCTGTAACCCAAGAACTGTTTTTAAGGAAAACAAAAATGCCGTGTAACTACAGTTTGTACTTCACCTCTGGCGTTTGAATAAAAGCGAATATTCAAGCAGCGAGAGAGTTGTCATCCCTTACGCCATCCCCAGATATTTGAAGTTTTAGGGGTAGTTTTTGAAGGTTAATTTTTTTAATTAGGCGGAGCTAGAGGCGGGCGGCGGCGGGTCCTCCGGGCCGCCAGGCGGCGCTGCGGCGCCGGGCTGAGGGGGCGCTGAGGCGGCGTTATGGCGGCGCGCTGAGCGCTGAGGGGGATCATGGCGCAGCCCCCGCCGTTCCCCGCCCGCCTCCCGCCGCCTTTCCGCGCCTTCCCGCCGCCCTTCCCCGGCCCCCCTGCCCGCCCCGCGCCCTTCCCGGTGGGGCCGGCGGCGCCCCCGCCCTTCCTCCTGCCGCCGCCCGCCGGCCCTGCACTTGAGGCCGGGCCGCGCTTCCCGCCGGGCGGCCCCTACTTGGCGGCGGCCCCGCCGCGGGTCGGGGCCGAGGAGGAGGCGGCGGCGCAGCGGCAGCAGGACGAGCTGTGGCTGTCGCAGTTCCTGGGCCGCCGGCGCGCCGCTCCCCCTCCGCCGCCGCCGCCCACCGCCGCCAACCCCAGCGGCGCCCGGGCCGTGGCGGTAGCGGCGCTGGGGCGGGTGGCCCGGGTGGCCGCGCTGTGCCGGGCCCTGCGGCGGAGCGAGGCCGAGGGCGACGGGCCGGGCTGGGCCCGGGTGCGGGAGGAGGCGGAGGCGGCGCTGCGGGAGCTGCGGGAGGTCGTGCGGCCCCTGCGGGAGCCCGGATACCGCGAGGAGCTGCGCAGGAAGGCAGAGAGGGCGAGGAAGAGGAGGCTGCGCCTGCAGCGAAGGAAGCTCGAGGCCAGGGCGGCCAAGGAGGAGGCGGCGGCCCGGGCCGCCGAGCGGGAGGCCAAGATCGACCAATGGCGGGCCAAGTGCATCCAGGAGGTGGAGGAGAAGAACCGGGTACGGCCCCGAGCGCCTGGTCCTGCCTGCCCCGGGGGCTCCTGAGTGTCGCTCCGTTTGCAGGGCAGGATGACCAGCCAGTAATGGGGTCACAGTGGTCTGTGCCTGTCCCACACCCGGCTTAGGGCCCCGCGGGTCAGTGGGTGCCACCGGGGTGCTGCATGACTTCAGCTTGCTTGGAGACATGCCCTTTCCAAGGTCTGCAGCCCTGCTTCTTCCTTGAGAGCCTTGGTGGGCATCTCAGCTTTGCCATGCTCATGTCCTAGCCCTTGACAGTTGAGATTTAAGTTGTTTCTGAACTGCTGGAGGTTTTCCTTTCTGGTCCCAAGTGTCAGCCTGCCCACGCTGCTCACAGCTGCCCTGTGGTGCTCAGCACCATTTCAGTATCCATCAGCCTTGCCTACTGCTCTCGTCCTTCTAAAGCTTGTTGTTTGCAAGCTTCTGGGTCTCATCTGGAAGTAAAATGTCTCCAAAGCAATAAAACCACCTTAAATTAGCCTTCCTGGGAAGTGCTGTAGGCACTTCGGTTGTTTTTGTGTTGGTTTTTGGCCAAAGAGCTCCCATTCTGCTGGTCTGCTGCTGGGATGGTCCAGAGCAGCTGCTGAGGAAGGGTTTGTGGTCAGATTGTGGCAGGTTAATGGTCTTTAATTGCAGAGCTGTGGAATTGAGGTGGTTTCTGTTCATTGTTAATGTTTTCCCTAAACTTATGTGGTTAAAGGCTATCAGGCTTTATGAGTTCATTAGCCATCCTGGAAGTGTTCAAAAACATGGATGTGGCACTTGAGGACATGGTTTAGTGGTGAGCATGGTGGTGGTGCTGATTTGACAGTTGGACTCGCTGATCTTAAAGGTCTTTCCCAACCTTAAAGATTCCATGATCCCATGATTTGGTCCAAATTTATGAGTCCCACAGCACTCTTTTTTGTTTTCTGAAGTCTGTGGTGTTTTAGCCTGTTTTTCTTAAAAAGGCAAGGCTGGATGGTTGACTTGTAGCTGTTGCTGTGAAGTAACTGATCTCCAGTGCTTCAATCATCTCTTGGAAAATACCACTTGATTCTTGTCCTCGAGTGATGTTTCACACATCATGTCTGTTTTTGTCTCTCACAGGAACGAGAGCTTAAGGCTGCTGCTGACAGTGTCTTGTCTGAAGTACGGAAGAAACAAGCAGACACCAAGAGGATGGTGGATGTCCTGCGTGGGCTGGAAAAGCTTCGGAAACTGAGAAAAGAGGCTGCTGCCAGAAAAGGTGAATTACAAGATTTTCACCCAACTTTTTTTATTGCACACCCAGGAAATAAGATGATGAGGGTGCCCTGTGCTGACTAGCAAGGTGCAGCTTCAAAAAGCTGTGTCTTTGTAGTGGATTTTAGTTACAAGAATAGCTGTAAAATGCTGAATTCACAAGTGGTTGTGTTCCTGTTTTTCCAAGCTTGCTCTCGATAGAACAATTATTCCGATAAGAATTCCAGCTGTTAACAAGGTTAAGCTCGTGTTTCTCTGAGATTTTGCCAGCTCTGCTCTCAAGTCTGATAATAAATCCCCTTCTGAATCTGAAAACTTAAAATCACTTCTCTTTCTCTTCAGGTGTTTGTCCACCCCCCTCAGCAGATGAAGCATTTGAAACTCAGGTGGAGAGTCTGAAAACGTTGCTCAAAACTCGCACAGAGCTGTATGAGGCTGAGGAGAGAGCATTAAGGGTTATGCTAGAAGGAGAACAGGAGGAGGAAAGAAAGAGGGAAATGGAAAAGAAACAGAAGAAGGAAAGGGAAAAACTACTACAGCAGAAACTGGAAATGGATTCCAAGCTGTTTGGGGATCCAGGTAAATTCTACATGCCATACTTAGCAGTGTTTTTCCACACCACACCCGCATCTCACAGACACTGAGGTTTGAAATGTAGGCACAGAACTAGTTGAGAAAGAAATCATCTGCTGAAGTAATTTATGGTCTGAGAAAAAGGTGGAATAAACATAGTGTGCTCTTAACACCTGTGGTGTAAGAGGAACTGCTCAGCTGATCAGTGTAGACTGCAGCACATCTCAGCTGATTTCATACTGTTTTGCAAGATTAAGCTACTGATTTGTAGATTAAGCTGTAGTGAGGCTAAATAGAATAGATTGAAGACTTTCAGCACCCAACAGATGCTTTAGTCTGGTGATTGGTGTGACTCGGGTCATCTGTATAGATTCAGTGTCCATTTGTTCCCTTTCTTTAGAAGATAGAGGCAGGAAAAATTTTGGTAGTCTTGGCTTTCCTCTGACAGCTCTGGTACAGACCAAGAGACAAGTAACATGTAACTAGTCCCTAATATATTACATAGGGACCTGATTTCAAGTTACAGCTGGGCACTAGCAAATGAGTTGGCAAATTTGGGGCTTCTAAGACTCACTAGAATCAAAGGTTTTTCTGGATTATTGAACAATTTCTGTTTCTGTGTTTTCACAGCTGAATTCCCACTCGCCCATCTATTGCAGCCCTTCAGAGACTACTACTTACAAGCTGAGCATTCTGTAGCAGCTCTTATCCAGATCAGGTAAAATCTTTATTTTTTTGTCAAAGATGACAAATACTGTTTGTTGAGATTGTAAAATCAGCATCCCTTTTGGTTTGTCAACTTCCAAATTTGGTTATGCAACAGTTTGTACTGTTTTTTTCAAGCTTTTTGCTTGAGGCATATCCAACACATGCCCATGTGAGGCAGAGTGCACTTCATGCACAACTATTGCATTTAACAGCAGTACAGTTGATTTTTACGTTTGTCTTTTGACAGACAAGTTTCAGAGTACAATTTACAGTGGTTTGTGTATCGATCAGTGTGGAAAAACACTTCTGTGGGTATATTATAAATCTTACCAGCTGTCCTCTCAACACTCTCTCTGTTAAAGGCATGAATGGGATCAGTACTTGGTGCCAGCTGACCACCCCGAAGGAAGCTGCATCCCTCCAGGATGGGTTCTCCCCAGTCTCCCCACCAATGACACTTGGGCCACTGCCGTCAGATGATTTAGTAATAAATTATGTTAACGTTGGAGGATTGTTTCATTAAAATTACATGTGTTAAATATGAGAGGGCCCGAAGAGGAAGTCTCATCCTCTCTTTCGGCAGCCAGGTACTGGAAAGTCTTTACTGGAATGTCTTGAAGAAAAGTTTTAAGAACTGTTTTTGCTGTCTGACTGTGCAGGGAGATATCTGAGCAAGCCCAGAGCTGCCAGGCCTCTCGTGGTGTGGAATTACAGTCTCACTGTGAGTTTTTGTTAAATCTGAGTCTTAATAAAGGAACATTGCTGACAGTGGTATTTGTGCCAGTATTAACATTCTATTTTTAGTGGCTTTTATCTTTATAGAAGATGATGAAATCTCCAGAAATAAAGAAATACTAAAATATATATATATATATACACACCCCATTAGTAAACATATTATTCTTCTTAAATGAAGCATGTCAAGTATCACTGTCAAAATAGTTCCTGTATTTTTGGGTGTAGAAACAACTCTATTACAAGTTTGAAGTACAAACAAGACAAGGTTTTTCAAGGTTGATTAAAGCAGCTGTTGACATTTTACTTTTGTGGACTAAAACTGGTACCACAACATGGAAAAAATTCCCAGCTGTGGTGAAATAGGTCAGACAGCCGTGTGAATAGACACAAATTTGATGAATAAGCCTGCTGGAAAAAAACCCAATAAAATCTGAAGTCTGTCCTACTGAAATTGTTTTGCCTATATAACTATTTTTGTATAAGGACACATCATGTCTGTAATATTTGATTACAAAACACAGCTCTATTTTGTAAGTTGTTTTTTTTGTACAGAATAAATAGAGAAAAATGGATTTTTTTTTTTCCATTTGAAGCACTTTTACAACGAAGGAGAGATTTGTTTGAATACTTGGCATCAAATACGACTCCAACATGGAGAGAATTGCTGGGAAAAGGTTTGTGTGAAGGAACTTCTTCCTCCTGCAAGGCGACAGAGGCATCCGATGTCAAAGCCGTCCGTGTTCTGGACAGTTTGCTTGTGACAGTGATGGGCCATATGGATTTGGGGCTTTGCTGGGCTATGCAGATGGTCGTGGCACGTTTCCAGAGCTGCAGACCTGATTCTTGCTTAGCCCCAGTGTGTGGGAATCGAGTTAATCTCTCCAGTGCTTTTCCCCTTGGCGTCACAACGGCGCGTCATCCATGGAGGAGGCGACGTCATGGCCTAAATTCCACACCTGGGCCTTATGTGATATCTTAATAGTTTATTGGCTGAAGCTTTGCAATGGTTTCTGTTAGTAAGAGCACACAAACTAGTAGTTTTTAACAGAATTACTGTGAGTGCAGAAGTTTGCAGTTCTTGCTCACCTGCAGCACCCCAAAATACAGATTACCAGGAAGTCCTTTGGATGTGGAGTTCTGATTTCCTCCTCCATACATCCCCCTGTCACTTCCAGCATTTCGGTACTCCAGACCCAAGGCTGAGTCAGATCCTGGGGAGTCTTCCCTGATGAAAATGCACAAGTTCAAAAATAAAAACAATTGCATGAAAACAATACAACTCCAACACTTCCAGTTCAGGAAGCTTAGTGACCGGAGAATGCTCTGCTTAAACAATTAGGCTCCTTATCCCGTCAGTGCGTCTGAGGGACAAGCCAACCACTTAAGCTACGATTATCTTAAAACTGTCCAAGTCAGCTGCTTGTCTGACACTGCAGGAATTTAAAGAGCTGAGCAGTAGATAAGCAGGCAGTGGAGCAGCAGCCCTGTTCTCCCTGCCCTGCGAGGAGAGCTCCATGAGTTCGTCTGACGGTAAGGATAACTTCATCTTATTAATAAACACAGGGGTTGAAAATGCCAGGGGATGATCTACCTTTAGGTATATTTCCATCCCTCAAACTTTCTGTGGTTTGCTTTGTGTATTTGTTCTTGTCTAGCAATGTATGCATTAAAATATTTTATATCTTTAGTGGGGAAGATAGAGAGGAATGTTTAAATCAACTCATAAAATACGTGGAGACAGAGTATTCTTAAAAATTGTTGTCTTCATGTTGAGGAGTCAGATTTGTCTGAGTATAGTATTTCCTACTGTCTTTAAGTTTTAAAAAATTACTATAGTCCAGAAGAAGACAGGGGTTGGCTGTGTGTTTCCAAGACTCCTTTGCATCCTATTCCTCCGCTGGTCCTGCTGCAGTTCAGGTTTCTCATGTTAAGGCACATCCTCTTCCTGATGTGAGTGAGCTGGTTCGTGCACTGGCCAGTGTCTGTGATGTGAAAGTGGGCAGGGCTGGTGTGGGGTACAAGCTCAGAGACCTTCTAGGAGTTGCCTTCTGGTGTGAGTTGGTGTTTAGGACTGACCATCTTTTATTCTTGTCTAGTAGCGGTTTTCTTGTCATCACACCCCCCCCAAAGGACTTCTTGTTTTCTGAACTGGGAATTAACACTTGTGGGTGCCTTTCTTAGAGAACAGTATTTATGCAGTGAAATACAGGAGGTACCATCTTCATATTTTCTTCATCCTCATACCTGAAAGTGGCATTTGAACCCAAGTGAAGCCATTCTGGGTGACAGATGTTGAGACACAACTTTCCTTTGCACCTTGTACACAGGGATTTTGGGAAGAGCCAGTTTACAGCATAAGCTATAGAGAGGGTCTGTCACCCTTGCACACAGGGGCCGTGCTTGGAGCTGCAGAAAGCTGGGGAAGGTGGTTTTGCCTGCAGGTCTTTTCATGTGTTGTCTTTGTCCGTGCTGACGTGGATTGTCCCTTAGGCTGAACGCTCTTAGGCTGGAGCAGATGGTCTGGCTCCGTGAGGGCTCCCCACACGTTGCCTGTGTCCTGTGTTAGTGGCAGGACACGTGCAGGAGCACAAAGCTCGTTAGGGGCTCTGCTTGGGCAGAGGTATTAAAGGCTCCTGGCGTAAGCAGGCAAGAGACAACCCTGTTGTCATTCTGATAATGACCAGCTGAGTTGCACTGAGTGATTGTGTGTGTCACTCATGTCTGTTTGTGGTCTGGAAACAATTTGTTAGTCCTCTGCCAACATAAGAAACTACTTGGAATCCCATTTCCCCTTATAGACTCTTATTTTTGCATTAAACATGTGGTTTTTTCATCCTTGTATACATTCATCTAAGTATTTCCTTTTTGTGGAGTGTTTATCCTCATTGTCAAAAAAGCTGTTTTAAAAGGAAAAAATGACTGTGAGAAGCACTTAGGGATGTCACACACATATTTACAGTGTGTCCTGAGGATGGGATGTCACACAAGTATTTACTGTGTGTCCTGAGGATGACTGCTGAGGACTTTGGGATGAGCAGGCACAGGCTGTCGGTGCCAGGACTCGTGGGGAGATGAGCCACCAACTCTTAGCAGTTGATAATCTGTAAAAGAAATAATTTTGCATGCTGTCATCACTGGGAAGCTCGAGGCTTCATGCAGTAAGTAGAGGCTTTTTACTAAATTGAGACATCTGTAGAGAGCTGATGGTTACACTATTGCAGTAATATTTTCCGTGCCACCATTCCCAATTCATCAGAAATTTTTGTCTCCCCTGCATTCCTGCTCTAAAACCATCACCACACTTAAAATGAGTAGATGGTTCCTAAAAGCTAATCTGACCTTAAAATGGCTTGTTTGACATCCCCCTAACTGTTAAGTTTGCCTCATGCACCAGCCTCCTGGCCTGGCTCCTGATAAGCTGCTGTGGTGCCAGAGGGGATGTCCTCACTGCAGCTCCCTCCTCCCTCGGGATGCTCCGTGTGATGGCTTAGCAGCACATGGCTGTGTGCATGAGCTCTGTCACCACAGGTTACACAGGGAGAGGAGACCTGCAAGGTGTTCTCCTTGGCTGTGGTTTCTCCCTCTGTAACTGGAAAAAGTGCTCAGTGTGTCCCCAGCTCGGAGAAGGGATCATGCAAAGGGCAGCAGAGGGAGGGAGAGGCAGGAGGGATGGGAAACAGCAGGGCATGCATGGAGGTGGAAGTGAAGAAAAATGCTCAGGATCTCTGCCAAAGAAAGCTGTAAGCTTGGTCAGGTCCTGCTGGCTCAAGCTGAGAATAGCAAAGGTTAGTTCAGACAAATCTTCCCGGTGTCAATAAATAAGATTTTGCCCATCTGGGCAATGCACACAGTGGTTTTTACTTGGCTGGCTCTTGAAAAAGCTCATCTTCCTCTCCTTCCACCCAAGTTAAGAGGTGCGAGTCCCGCCTTTTACAGTTCTGTTTCCTCCCTTCCTCCAGCAGCAAGAAATCAGGCAGGAGTGATGAGCTACCTGGATGAAGTTCCCTTCAGGATGGCCCTGAGCCTCGACGGGGACTCAGGGGGAGAAATCCCCTTAATCACCGCCCCGGACATCGAGGTGCCCGACTGCACCGACATCCTCATGAGCACCATGGTGAGTCCACACCCAGATCACTGCTGGGGGATGCTCAGAGGGATGTTAGTGGTGCTTTCCTTTTCTTAGGAGAGAAGGGGCACATCCTAATTGATCTCCTCTTACTTGACTGGTTTGCAGCAGTATTGGGAGGAGAGGATGATTTGTGATATGTGGAACTGAGGAAGGAGTTGTTTTGGGGTTGTCTTTTAAAAATCCTGTCCAACAGGAGGCTTGGGTCTTTCTGGGATAGGAGGACAAACTTCTGCTCTGGGGTTGTTTTCTACTTTGGAATTATCACTGTCTCATTTATTAATAATATTTATTAAATATCAATAATTTTAACAGATATAAGCAGGCAACATTACCTGTACTGACAGCACATGCATAATTTATATATGTATGTAAGTTTTTATATATATATATACATATATTTATATATGTATATAAAGTATCCCGTGTTTCTCCCTAGTTGGGATGCATTGATGCTCTCCGCCAAGGCCAAGCAAGATTGTGCTGCTGCTTCAGGCTGATCCTTCTGGAGGGACGTGGGGGTGTTTTCCTTAGGGAGGCTGTTTTGGGTCCACAGATGACCCAAGTGGCAGGAGCAGTAAAAACAGCATTCCTGGGCTGTGAATGTGCTTGCCTGCCTGTCCGGAGGAGACCTTGTTTGGAGAGCTCTGGGACGGGCAAGGCTTGTTTGTTCCAGGAAAATCCTCAGATTTCAGTCACAAACAAGCTTATATTTTAAGACAGACTATGTGGAAATGACAACTCTGTTTGGGGACCAGCCGAGCCCCTGGCGCCACAAGAGACTCCCATGGCTGGTCCTGCCGCTGCCTGAGGTGGCATCACCCTCCCTGGTGGCTCCAGAACCCCTGTGCCTGAAGTGCCACTAATGAGAGCCACAAACAAACTCTGCCACCACCCTGGGGGTAGCCTGTGGCTGGATGCAGTGCCTCTCTGCAGCTGCCTAAAATTGGGATGCCCACATCCCCTATCTGCACCCTCCCACCTTCCACAGCAGCCAAAGTGACACAGAACCACCTCTAAGTATAAAACACTTCTCAAAAAAATTGTAGGTACAACTCACAATAGTAATAACTTTATACAGGGACTTTTTTCAAGTGTAAATTTGGGGATTCCCTATAGGGATGAGGCTGGCACAGCCCAATCCTACAGCCAGCCCTGATCAGGGAAGTAGGATCTGATATGGGAAGGCTGCAGCCCTTAAGCTGCCTTGCAAAGTGAGTGGTTTGCTCGGTGCCAGGTGGTCTGGTTTCAGGTGTCCTCACCACCTGCCTCTCGCTCTTCCACAGCACGACTTCTCCCTAGAAAGGAAAGTGCTTTACTGGGTCGAGGTGGCCTCTCAGCAGCAAACCTGCCGGCACCGGGTCACCTCCGAGGTCGTCCCCACGGCCCCGCCGTGCTGGCTGCTGCTGGTGGACCCCGCCGACAGCTACGGGGGCCGGGCGCGGGACGCGGCGGTGCGGCGCTCCATCAGCATGAGCGCCGCCGACACCTCCTACGGGCACGCCAGGGGCAGGGCGGGCCTGTCCGACACCGAGAGCGAGACCTGGCACTCGGAGGAGGGTGACTACTCGGACGATGAGTACTCCTCGACCTCCCTGGAGGAGAATGACAAGGATGAAAAGCTCCTCTCCAGGAGGAGAAGCTCTGGGAGAAGCGTGGCTTCACGTCTCAGCTTTTACCAGACCCGACCAAAGACATCGCCTGGCTTGCTGGAGCCCTCACCAGAGAACAATGTCCACAGCCCAGCCAGCCCGGACCCCAGCAAGCAGAGAAGATCCATGGTGATATTTAACAACATGAAGAATGAGCTGGAGGCAGCCAGGAGGAAGCTGGCTGCTCTGGTGCATCCTTTGAACAGAGCTGCCACGGGGGGCAGGGGGATCCCGGTGCCACGGCTGCTCCCACAGTGTCCCGGCACCAACCGTGGTGTCAAGTACGGGCCAGCCCAGGACGTGTCTCAGCTGGGGACCTTGGTGCCAACTCCTCCAGCCACACCTGCACCAATCCCACCCATCAAGCGGCACAAACCCACAGTACCGGTGAGCTGCTGCCTTTGCTTGGTGCTGAGAGAGGAGGGAGGTGGAGGGCGTTGAATTGGTCTCATTTGCCAGAGACTGAGCAGCAAAATGGATTCAAAATGAGACTTCAGGAACACTGGACCCATGAGAAATTACTGATGAGTTTTCATAAGAAGTGAAGGCAGGGTTTCTTTTTTCCTCTGAGGTTGTGCATGTTTACTTGCTCTGTCCTAGTCAAAACACCCCTGTTTTTCCCAAGAAGCAGGATCTAATTTGATTATCAATTGAAACACTAAAAAAAAAAAAAGAGTGAAATAACAGGGGTTTTCCCCTCTTTTCTCTCTGTTACCCCCCTCTTACAGATATAGGCGGGGTTTATAGAGAAATGCTCCTTTACAGCCATCATATCTTTTCTAGGAAACTTTGGACTTCATAGTCCTACTAAAAATACAAATCATTGGTGAAAGAGGGATGTGACAGGATGGAGTAAATATCACTCTGTCACCTTGAATCTGAATTGCACCATGTTTTTTTAAGAAATCACATCTCATCCAGCTACTTGAGAGATTTTAGGAGATGAATTACTGAAAACCTACAATTAAAACCATTGGACACATGAATGACCAGGTTATTTATAGGCAGTTGTACTAGACATGGGGTAATTAAGGAAAGATTAAATGCCTGTGTGTATTTGTACATCACCCAGCCTGAGCACTCTTTGATCTGATCTGTATCTATAGCTGAGCCTGGATTTAATTAAATCCAGTCTCCTTTGATGCCCATTGGATGTTTCATGTATAGGAATTTTCCTCTTCTGGAGACAGCAAGGTAACTGCCGGTGTTCAAAAGCGTTGCTTCAGCCTGGGTGTTTGACATCATCCCATGAGCTGGAGCAATAAGACTCTCTTCTGTTTTTTCCTTGCAGTCCCTCAGCCCCTACACCTGCCTCCCCCCTGCCTGCACACCTGGGAGGCCCCTCAGCTCCCTCAGATCCCAGCCGGATTCCTCGGCTGACCTGCTCTCCGCTCTGAGCCAAGAGGAGCGAGACCTCATCGAGCCTGTCATAGCCCTGGGCTACCCCACGCACAAAGCCATCCTCACCCTCCAGAAGACGGGAAGGCAAAGCTTAAGTCAGGTTGGTGGAGCTGGTGCGGCACAGCGGGAAACCTTGGGTAAAGGAAAACTTGATTTTCCTGGAGAAAGGAATGGCTGTCTTGTTTGGGGTGGATTTCTGATTGCCTTGGCTCTCCCACTTTGGTGTCAGACCACAGCTGACAGGCTTTTCCATGAGATCACACTTTTGCTGTAATAAAATAGCAATGAGTCGCCCTCAGCTTTTCAGCATGTAATCACGGCTGGTTTCGTTATCTGTTCAATCTGTTGTGTGGAGCTCCATGTCCTTCTGAGGTACAAATTTTGCCCCCATACATGGAAAATTTTGCACATCATTTTTTCCCGGCTGTTGGATTTGTGTGATGATTACCATGGTTTATCCTGTCAGAGCAGGACTGTACGAATACCACAAAGATTTGGCTGGGCTCTCTCCAAAACACAACTTCCCTGCCTTGCAGCAAGCAGGGAATCCATGCAAGCATTGCAACGGGGTCCCAGAACTTTTTTCCTGAGGAACCCTCTATAATAACCTGGAATTTATTGAAAACAATTAACATACAGACTCTTCCTACCTGTGGTGTCTGAGTACATTCTTGCCTGCAGTGCTGCATCTCCATTCCTGAGGTCTCTGCTTGTGCAGATGAATTCCACAATGGTCCAAGGGGGCCTTGGAGCATCTATGACATGAGGGATGATGCTGGCTCTGACTCCCTTGGCAAGCTTGGAGCTGGACCTGCCCATCCCAGCAGAGGATTTTAGGGCTAAATTACCCAAGTAACTCTTGCAGAGAGAGAAGGGGCTTAATTGAAACTCAGCAAGAGGGATGTCCATGAAGCTGTCATGCCAGGGAGCAGGAGCAAATCCTGGCAGAGGCACGAGCAGGCACAGTGCCAAGCAGCCTGTGCTGGGTGCCAGTCTCCTTCCCATTCCCCTGGGAACTGCCTGTGCTGTGTGGGCCAGCTCCCACCCGCCTGGTCGGCACACAAAGCTGCTCTGTGGCTGAGTCATCCTGCAGCTCCCCTCTCCCTCCTGAGTCACCCCGGCTGGACCAGCCCTCCAGACCTCGCTGGTGTTTCAGGAGAGCTGAAGTGGGAAGGGAAGATTGTGTCCTCAATTCATGGAGGTTTCATCCAGGCAGAGGGAGATGGACAGAGCCCAGCCCACATTCTTTGCACAGAGCCGTGAGAGGATGTCTTGTGGCTTCAAAATGAAGAAACAGTGCATCTTTTTAAGGATGGAAGTGGGTACAGCCTGCTCCCTTCTGTATAAACACTGGGACTCCCATTCCCTTGGAGAAAAGATTCCTGCACCAAAATACAAGGTCTGCCTTATATCCTGTGCCTGCTTCACCAGCAGATTCCATCTTTCCCATTTATGCCCAATGCAGCCAAGATAAAACGTAAAGCCTGACCTTTTGTGCATCTCTTACAAGTACAAAACTACCAAATTAGGCTAAACCTTCCTGCAAAATATGTTCCAACTGAAGTTAAAAAGAGCTGTAGGTGCTCTTCATTGCTTGCTGTGTCACGCAGGATTTCAGTGTGTGATGACAACAGCTTCAACTCTGAGGACTGATTGTAGTACCAGATGGTAGACAAAAATTGCTCAACTTCTTTGCAGTGTCAACTCAAAACTAGCAAAGCCCACCTTGGTAGAGAAGGCAAGTTTGTGGCCTTAAAGAGGCGATCCCTTCTCAGTTTTGGTGGAAGAACTTTTCTGAAAGGCTCAAGCAGGGTTAGTTGCCCCAACGTGCCAGAGGTTCATCATGTTATGGCCAAGGGCTAAACCAAAAATGCAGCATTGCATTTTGCTCAATGATCATTGATCAATTCAAAATGCATCCTTGATCCATGGAGCCCTCGATGTGCCTGTGAGCTGAGACATGACAGCGGCTGCAGCTGCTCAGCACCCATCTCCCCAGGCAGCTGTAGGCACACGGCAACAGTGTTAAAAAACTTCTTGAGGAGAAAAATATAAAAAACACTGAGTTGACAATGGCATCAATTTCATGCTGGGCTTGACCAGGCTGCCAGAACTGTCTGTGTTGTGCCATGAGTGAGCAGCTATTCCTGCCACAACAGAGCAAGAAAATACAGCAATGAGTTGGGGTTGTCACTGGTCAGGTAACGAGGGAAATAAAATCAGGTTAGGGATGCCAATGACCAGTGACTGTCTCCTCCCTGAGCTGCTCCTTAAGGCTGACATTTCTAAAAATCCTTACTCTGCTGTTCAGCCAAACTAGATCAGCTCAACATTTGAGGGACTTTTTTGCCTTTTTCATGTGTTTTGTGGTCTTTTACTGAGTCCTTCCCCTTGGCTAGGGCAGTGCTGGGGAGGGTGGAGGTCTATACACTGGTGGATCTGGGGAAGATATGAATCAGTTTGTCCTTGGATGAAGATGGCACAGCTCTGGGGAGACCCGTGGGATGTTTTTATTCCCCCTGCTATTGTATAGCTCATTTATTATTGTCTGTCCCATATGTTTTTGGACAGTGAGTGATTCTCGCGGTATTTAAAAGATGCTGCTGGGAATTGTGCTGTCAGCACTCCAAGAACAACGAGGAAAGCCAAAAATAACTGTTTACTTTCAGTAATGGCAGCACACGGGTCTCCCCTGGGGTAGGTTTTGCGCTTGGACCCTGGAGCAAACCCAGGGGTGCCTGAACCCCGGAGCATCAAAGGGATGTGGGGTTGGCTGAGGGTGGACATCCCACGGGGACAGGCTCTGCCTCACCCACAGCCCGGAGGCCATTGCTCTGTATCTCAGAGGTTCAGATGTTTGGTTTGCTCCTCATCCTCCCTCTGCCTTGTTCCCATTCCCACCCTGGGAGGGTGAGGAGGACCAAGATGTTGTCATCTCCCGCTGGGAATCATGTGGACAGACAGACCACCCTGGCTGAGCATCAGATGGGAACCAGCAATGGTGGGTTGCTCATGTCCTCCCCATGGTGTGTGCCTGGTTGGTGTCAAGGTGGGCTCCTGTTTGCCCTCACTCCCTGTGCCAGCAAGGCTGGATTAACCTGGTTGTCTTCCTCTGCAGTTCCTGAGCTACCTGGGTGCCTGTGACCGGCTGCTGAAGCAGGGCTACGAGGAAGGGCAGGTGGAGGAGGCCATGGAAATGTTCCAGTACTCAGAGAAAAAGGTCAGAGTGGGATGGCAGAACCCAGCCCTTTGTGCTGTGTCCTCCGGGCTCGCTTTTCCAGCGGGCTGTACCCTTCCCTCCACTTCCACTGCCCCTCATGGGGGTCAGACCCACTGCCCTGCCACCAGCAGGACCCCCATAAGGACCCTCTGGGAAAGGACACCTGCTCCATCCCCTTTTCCATCCATCCTCTCACCCCGTTGTGCAGCACGATGCTTGTTCACCTGCTGTGCAGGGAATCCTCTCCCAAGCCCACCAACACCTGCTCTTGCTCCCTCTCTCCCAGCTCTCCTCCAGGGAGAAAAACTGTGGTGACACACTGGGAATTGGTCTCCATCATCAGTCTCTTCCTGGGTAATGAAGAGCCTGGGGAGGTGAAACTGCTTGAAGTCTGGGCTGGCAGTGTTTGCTGGGGTGCCGACAGCCCGTAGGATTGTCATGTCACTGCTCATTAGGGCAGTGACAGTGGGGGCTGCCCAGGTCTCAGTGTCAGGGAAGGTTTATTTATTGAGGACACGGCTCTGGGTGATGTCATGGCACTGGGGCCCAGCCTGAGCAAGGAGGGAAGCAGGACAAATGAATTCCAGCTTGTGCTCACTGCCTCTCCCTGCCCTCTTTATAATGCAGACAAACACTGCATGGAATTGATACAAACTTTATAAGGAATAAGTGAAGCTGGAGGCTGACTTTATTAAATATTTCTTATTTAAGAAGTTGAAATGCTACCAGGGGTATGTGTGTCCTCGGGCTGCTGTTGTGGTGCCCTTTGGCGGTGACACAACTCAGCCAGGGCGTCTGGCTGCAGCCTTGTCCCACAGCACTGCTTCTGCTGCAACCCCACGATGGATCCATCCATGATAATATCATTCCCCTCTCTTCCTTCTTCCTCCAGGCAGCTGAATTCTTGCATCTGTTGGCTCAGTTCAACGATATGGGTTTCCAGCAAAATGAAATCAAAGAAGTTCTTTTGCTTTGTGGGAATCAGAGGGAGAGGGCGCTGGAAGAGCTCGTGATGAAAACCCACTGAGCAGCACCCTGGACCCATCACAGCTTCCCCTCTCCAGACTGCACCAGAAGCACTCAGGTGGTTCTGCTGCTCCATCCCCACCCCTGGAAACAACCAGTCACGGACCTTCACAGCTCTTCCTTGTCCATTTTATGGACATCCATCATAAGAGTGTTTATCATTCAGGCACCGACTTCATAGGAGGAATATTTATCTCCTCACCCACACGTCCCCACCCTGATCATCTCAGCTGTTCAGATTAGATGAAATAAGATCCAAACCGCCTTCAGCTTAGATTTTTGCAAAACCCAAACCACAGTGTTCTCCCTCCACCTGGGGTGATGGGTGTCATGTTTTCAGCTACAATCAAATGTGGATTCTTAAGAGATTATATAAATCATCAGAAGAAATTGTTTTCCTAAAATCTGAAGGAACATGTGTTGGTCCTGGCTTGGTAAGAGTCTCAGCTGACTTAGTCATGATTGAATATTGTAATTGAAATCCAATTTGATCACATTAGCTTCTCCTTTTAAACCAGAAATGTGATAAAAATACACAATTCCATGAAGGTAAGGAAAGAAAACAGGCTTGCCTTGCTCTGAAATACATGAGGTTGAATGCAAAATGGTGGAGGTAAGAGTTTGTCCTCAGGGAACTTTCTGAAATCAGAACAGAGAGACGGGGAACTGCTCACTGCCCTCATGCTCTGCCCAAATCAGGAAAATTCAGGGGATGTTTCCCTAAACTGTGAAGACAGTGGCTCCAAATGAAGTTAAGCATGAAAGTCAGCATCGGGAACATCTGGATGCTCGGGGGAATTTCTGTATGCAACTGAAGGACAGAGAATGGGATGTGTGTCTTGGTTTGGCACTGGAACAGTGGACAGTGTTTTCACATAAAGTATGTTATTTTCCTGTGAATTAGATACAGATGTAATTTCTTTGAGTAAAGATGCTTGGGGGGTTCTTCTGCAATGTGTTTGTGTCTTTTCCTGTCAGGATGCCAACTGGCACAACCCAGCAGAGAAAATCCTTCGTTAGTTGCATTAGTACCATTTTTCCATTGTATCCTTCCAAATAATCTCTCAGTCTAACATACTGCCATTGAGGTAAAACACTGAGTCCCTTCTCCCTGGATCTCCAGGTGGATGCCAGACACCAGCAGGAAGGTACATCTCTCCACGGCTGCCTTCATTCTTGCCTGGATGGACAAGGAAACTTGGCATCCAAGTTTTGGGGGGCTTGACCCATCCATTCCCAAGGAAGCTTTTTTCCTGCCCTTCTTTAATGGCATTGAAACAGAAAATGTGGTACCTTGTGTGACCAAGGGAGATATCCCCGAGGAGCTCACAGGCTCCTCCTGAATCTCCCAGCCCTGTTTTTGCTCCAGCTTTCCCTTGGTTATACAAGCTTTTATTTTTGATGTGGCCCTTATAAGGCAAGTCCGTTCTACAGACAGCTTTTCCTTACGTCCTCTCTTGCCAAGATGATGTCACCTTAAAAAAGAAACTTGAAAAAGGTTAAACTGTGATTAGGACGATCGTGTCGCCTGGAACTGTGATCTTTGGCGGAACGAACCCCTGAGGATGGAGAGGGGGAGATAAAGGTGCTGAGCTGGTGCCAGCAGCGTGAAACATCGAGGGCTGAATTCTGGTGGCAGCGTCGTGCCCACAAAGGCTGAGCAGCCTCTCACCCTCCTTAGAGGAGCCTCCTTGACCCTGGCTCATCGTTTCTTGCTGAGGTAAGAGCTGTATCTTTTGTGCTCCCTTTGCACCTAAAATTATCTTGTGTTACTCTCTGTATCACGGTCTGGATTGATGGATGCAACAAATGACTCCTCTCTTGGGTTATCCATGCCATACTCAACAGCCTGCCAAGACCTGCACTTTCCCCTAAGTGCTGCACTTAAAATCTTCTGCATTTTGTCTACAAATATCTTTGTAAACCCCTGAACTGTCAAAAAACCAGCGTGTGGAGGTGGGGAGGAGGTTGTATCACTTGGTGTTGGAGTTGGAGGGAAGGGGAGAGCCTGCCAAGTTCAACAGTCCAGGGTTGGCCACAGGAGCCCAACATAAATATTTTACTAACAGAATTATTTTAACTTTATTTTAATGGAGGTTTAAGCTGTTTGTTCAACCTGAAATGGTTTTAAAGCAGCATGTTTCCATATGCTGCTCTCAGTTAGGAGAAGACAACCTGAAATGTTAATTGGCTTTATCTGGGAGGGGAGTGAGGATTTGACACCAACACAATTCCTCTTATGCTGCCCATGGTGCAGAGGTGGGGGAGGTCCCTCGGTGACCTCTGCCTCCCCTGTGCCACTGCCAGACCTGCACCTCCAAGGGCTGTGATCCCATCACAGGTGACAGCAGAGTGGTAGCCTGGCCCAGTGGCAGGGAACAAATGAGGACAAGGCACATCCATCTGGCCATGGTTGCAAGTTGGGGTTTTCTGGTTTGTTTTGGTTTGTGGTTGCATTGAGTGGGTTTATTCTCAAATGAGGGAACTGTTTTGAAAATGCTGAGAACTTGGCGAGGGTCAGCATGGAGGTATTTGAGGCATCCTGGCTGGTATTCCCTTCAGCTCCATCCCAGCCGGGACAGCACAGCAGCCCAAAGCCTGACCCATGGATGGAAGACCAGCTGACCACAGTCTGGGTTTGCTGCTGCCCTGGTCCCCCAGCACTGCAGTCACAGAGGGGAGCTCTGTGCTCTCCAGCCACCCCCAGAGCTGGTGCTGAGGGTCAGCAACCTTCCACTCCAGGCAGTGGGATCTCATGGGAACAGCTCCTCTGGCTTTGGAGCTCTGCAAGCCTGGCATCACCATGCAATGGTGGTGCTCCCTCCCTTTTTGTACCCTCTGTACTTCCAAGTTTTGCCATGTCCTCAAAAGACCCTGACTTGGTTCAAACAAGCCTCTGACGAGAGCCAGCACTTGCCACCCCTTTGAGTCTTGCTGAGGCTTGGGGGGATGATGGATGGTTCCCAGGTCCCAGAAAACCCTCAGTGCATTAAGCACCAATGCCCAGGAGCTGCTTTCCTTTACCGCCCATCTCCCCTCCTCCTCCCAGGACCCTGCTGTGGCCATGGAGATATCCCAGGGGAGCACAGGGCTGTGTGGGAACCACACTCCCACATACGGCTCTGAAATGGAGCTGCAGCTGAAAAAGCATTCAGGGGCAGGAGTGAGTCCTGACATGGATCTCTGTTAGGAGGTATTATCCTTCAGAAGGAGGGGGGGGGGAACCAAACCCAAGAGTAATGAAAATTCTGTAATGAGAAGCTTTTCTATAGGTTTCCTTTTAATTCTGAGATATAATGAATGATTCCCCATCAGGGAAGAGAGGAGGTGGAGTCCTGCACACCCTCAGAGTGTAGTCAGAATAAATAACCCCCCTGTTTGCACCTCTCTGGTACCTGTTCTCTGCAGAAGCCATGAAGCTGTGCACACAGTTGGCTCATGAGCCCACGTCTGGCAGGACTTTGCACTCGTGCAGGGCAGGCAGGCACAGCAGCAACTGCCTGCAGTCCCTTCCCCTCTGGCAGGGTCTAGTGTCACCTCCAGGGTCCAACATGAGGCATCCCTGGACCTGAGCACAACTTCACGGAGGAGGAGAGGAGCCCAGGGGAGCAGCAAGTGCAGAGCCATGTGCAAGGAGAGCATTCTGACATGGGATGGGGGACCACCTACGTCGCGATGTCATGGTCACGTCTCGGCAGCCGCAGGAGGAAGGTCTGCAGGGAGCCACTGCGCGGGAAACCTGCTCGCTCCTTCTTCTGCTTCCAGGTCTCCTCTTCCACGGAGTAGAGGAGTGTCAGCATCTTGTTGACAGTGTAGATGGTGTCCCCCCTGACAACAGCAGTGAACAGGGCTCCCTTGCTGTTCAGGAACTGCCCAGGCAGGGCCGTCCACTGCCGCGACGTCAGGTTGAAGCAGTCGATGACACAGCGCAAGAAGTCGTCATAGGGGCCGTTGCGCATGACATAGAGGTTGTCACGGTGGGCCACCATGCAGTGCCCGTAGCTCTGGTGCCGCTTGAGCTCGGTGACGGGAAGCCACTCGTCCCGCTGGGTCTCGTACTCGTAGATGACGGTGGTGTCCAGTGGCTGCCACAGGCAAACAAAGATCTGCCCGAGGGCTTGGGCACAGGGCGCCGCCGTGCTGGGCTGCGGCAGGTCGGAGACAAACGTCCAAGTGCTGGAGGCCACGTCGTACCTCTCCACGGACTTGAGTGAGATCTTCTCGTACTCCCCCCCAATGGCGTAGAGGAAGCCCTCGTGGCCCACCAGCCTGACGTCGTAGCGCAGCTGGTGAGGGCTGGGGAACTCACTCCAGACGTTGGCGTCAGCGTCATAGCAGAAGCTGCTCTCCACCACCTGCTTGTTGGCCCCGTAGACGCCTCCCACGATGTAGATCTTATTATCCATGGTTGCCATGCCGGCTAGGAATGTGCTGGCACTCAGCGGAAGGCAGGAGAGGGTCCTCCACGTGTTGGTCTCCTCGTCCAGGTAACAGATGGTCCTGGACAGGTCCTCCAAGAACTCGAAGGTGGGTGTGTGGGCTCCCACTGCCACAAAGGTGCTGGGCAAGAGGGCTTCCACATAGGCCAGCAGGTCATCAGAGAGGCAGTCCAGGTACTCCTCCAGCTCGGCGTAGCTGTCCCTGATATAGAGAGCGGCGCAGTGGAAGAGATCCAGGAGGCCGAACATGGCAGCAGCTTGGTACAGCAGGATGCAGTTGTCGGAGTTGATGGAGTGGATCAGGTACTTGGCCAAGGGCTTTACCTGCAGGAAGGCAGCACACTCCACTGCCTGGAGGGTCTCCTCACTGCCAAGGATGGGCCTCTCACCCTCCAGCACCCGCAGCATGGCGAGGAACCCGGCCGCGCTCAGCTCCCCCAGCCCGATCTCCTCCTGCATGCTCTCCCTCATGCCCGAGCGGAAAAGGGCACGGAAGTACTCACTGCTCTCCACCAGCAGGGTCTTCTCCACACAGAACGACTGCTCCTCCACCCGGATACGCACCCGCTCCGGGGGCCCTGCCCGGGAGCCTTCCTCCTCCGGGGTCATCCTTGCCCAGGGGTCAGTGGCTCTCGGGGGTGGGGGAGCAGCCAATGCCCCTCTGTGCCGTGCCCCAGCACAGCCCCCTCCTGCCTCCTCCACCCTTTGATGCCTTTGCTGCACTGCCCGATGGCCTTGTAACATAAATACCTTGGTCTAAAGATAGCTGAGCTCGTGACCGGGGCCCTTCAAAGGCATCCGCCAGGCTCAGCTGCCCACCCAAACTCAGGCAGGGCTCCAGCATCACCGGCCAGGGCTGGGCACAGCAGAGGTGCCCAGATTATCCCATGGAGTGTGCCCAGCCACTCCTGGGAAACTGGGTTTTGCTCTCCTCACTTTCGGGTGTCCTCGTTGCAATGCCCTAAGGAGACGGTTCCCCATCCCAGGGAGGGCAACATATCTGCACAGCTGGGAAGAGCACATTATCACAGTATCCTATTTTATTTTCCCTTAAAAAGTGGAGTTTACAGCCACAGGGAGGTAAACAACATCAGCAAACCTTGTTGCCATCCAGCCTGGCTGTGGGAAAGGGCCTTGCCTGCCACAGGCAAGGAGAGACCTTCCTTTGTGACCCTCCCCAGGCAGGAGGCATCAGCAACCCAGGCAACATCCAGCCCAGGCACAAGGAGCCATAAGCCAGGCTGTGCTTCACGTGGGGATCTCATGGTGAGGAAAATGAAGTGCAGTGACCCTTTTTCAGCAAAAAACTCCCCTCTGGCCTCAGGGCTCACCTACTCCCTGTGATGCTTGGCTGTGGGCAGAGATAAACCCCTGTGACTGACATAGAGGTTGGCAGTGAAGAAAAGTGTCATTTGTGGCACATTGCTGATTTGTGTGCTATTCACAGCTTTTCATGGCTAGAAATCCCATTTCACCTCTGCCATGGGGTGCCGAGGAGAGGGCCAACAACAGGGCTCACCTGAGGGGCTGCTTCGCAGGTCTCCCCATCACCAGCTGCACCTGGTCTTTAGTTTTGGTGAATAATTTAACCTGAGAAGCCCAACACTGTTGAAGGTCTATTTTTTCCTCCCTCCTTAGCCCCTTGTCCAAGCCCCCAGGAACTCTCAGGGCAGCACAGGATGGCAAAGTCAGTGCCCCAGGGTCAAGGCACCAGCAGGTTCCCCAAAAATCTCAGTTTAGGGGAGAAGGGAAGAGCTTTGCACTTGTGCTGCTGTCATTGATCCTCATGGATACCCAGCTTAAAATACCACATTCAGCTCTGATTGCTTTTAAGTCTCTTTGACCTGTGTCCAAAGGGGGTCTGGGAGCTGGGGGTCTCCAGAGGGGCTCTGCTTCCTGCAGGGGAGTGATCCCCATAATCCCCATCCTCCCCATCCCTGGATCTTGCAGGGACTTCTACACTCCCAGACTATTTAGGGAGGGTTTAAAAATATCCTGCCTGCATTAATGGGCAATATTCCCAATGGCGCAGCAGCCCTGCGTGGACACGGAGCAGCCCTCGCCCCCCAGCCTCGGATATGGCCCCCCCCAGAAGCCCCTCAGGGCCGGCCCAGGGGCTGTATCCTGCAGTCCCGGGCACTGAGCCCCATCCCAAATGGTTCTGATCGCCATGACAACGCTGACTTCAGCCCCTGCCACCTACTCAGGCTCAGAGACACTGGGTGCTGGCTGATGGATTGGTGCGGGCACTGGTGAGTATTCCCTGGGCTCCCTTTTCCCCTTGGGATCGAGTCTTTTGGGTGGGAAAAGGGTATTTTTTTCCCCCTGCAAAGCCTCTGCTGGCAGCAGAAGGTGTCTGTGCTTAACTGCATCCGAAGGAGCCGGGCAGGTGGTGAGCAGGGTGGCTGGACAGGCAGCATAGCTCCGAGGTGCTGCTTCTGCCTGCCGGAGGTGTGATGAGTACACTGGCCTCGGCCAGGGCAGCGGGACCAGGCTTGGGCTTGCTGGGGACATATCGAGGAGCTGGGGACACAGCGAAGTGTTAGGGGCTCAGGAAGATGCCGGGACACGTCAAGGTGCCGCGACACGGTGTGGTGGCCCAGGGGTCCCTGCCCGAAGCCCCGGCAGCTCGGGGGGTCGGAGTGCCCTGCCGGGGGGACCGTCCTCGGGGTGGCCGGGGCAGCGTGTCCAGCCCCGCGGCGGGGCCGCTTTCCTTACAAGGAGTTTGGCCGGAGCCCGAGCGGGGGAGCCGCGCTCGCCTCCTCCCGCCTCATTCATCGCAGCCCCGGCCGTGCAGGGGCCGCTGCTCCCCCGGCCCCGCCATCGCCCCCGGCCAGCCCCGCGTCCCCTCCGGCCCTGGCTTTTGAGGTGGGAGGCTGCGTTTCTCTTCTCTCTCTGGGGTGTGAAGGGTGGGCGGAGGGCTGGGGGGTGGTCCCTGTATTTCGGTGGGGTGCTGGACACCCTGGCTCCAGGATGCGGATGGAGAAGGGGGGATTTTCCTCCCTCGTGCTGCTGAGCCCCCTTTTGCCCAGGCTAGGGCACCCCACGAGCCAGGCAGTGAGAAGGTACCCACCTGGCACGGCAGCGGGTGCCCCATGTCCCCCCTCGCTCTCTCCCGCAGGACCGAGGATGTCCTCGATGTTCGGCAAACCCCGAGCCAGCGCCGAGCGGCCGCCCCAGACCCCCCTCCCCGAGTGCAATGTGGCCATCCTGGGGTGCCGAGGGGCCGGCAAGTCAGGTGAGACAGGCACCCACCACCACGGGGAGGGCCGGGCACAGGGGGGGCTGCAGGGGTGGCAGTGCCATGGGGGGACACCTTCCTCACCTGCCTCTTTCACCTCCTTGCAGCCCTGACTGTCAAGTTTCTAACCAAGAGGTTCATCAGCGAATATGATCCCAACTTGGGTAAGACTCTTTGTCGCCCCATGGAGTACCCTTCCCATCTCCCGTGTTTCCCACAAATATGGCATTTAGGGGGGAAAAACCCCAACCTACTCAAAATTATATGAAAAAACAAAAGAAGGGCTGGATTTGATCCAAACCCACTTGTAAAAACAGAGGTGAAAGCAGCGCCCTCTCTCTCTGTGGGCACGTCCCACAGGGGAACATTGGCTCCTCTCATTGCCCTGAAGAAACCAAAAGCTGAATTCTTGGGGCTCCTTGGGGAGCTTCTGGTGCCTCCTGCTCACCCCAGGGATGTCAGGCAAGGGAAGGGCTGGGGGAATGAGAGGGGTGCAGAGTGAGCGACCCTGGGGGCTGAGTTTTGCAGCAAGCAGTTCTGGGCATTTTTTTTTCCACTCATTTGAGTAATTAATAACTATTTTTCTGGGCCTGACTCCAGGTCACAGAGAAGAACCATAAATGATTTATCGGGGACATTAGAGAGATATGGACCTTGTCCAGGAACCAACTCTGGCCCCTAATAATTCAGTGACTCTTAGGAAAGAAGGATAAATCCTTTCCTACTCGGATATTTTTGGGAATGTGTTTTCATCTTCCCACGTCAAAACCTTTCCGAAACACATCCATTAGGAGCTGGCCCAGAGAAAGCATCTTTCTCCCGGGGGAATGGCTCAACGGCTCTCCCTGCCTGTCCTGCTTCCAAAAGAAAGGGCTGTTCCTCTCGCCTGATTTATTGGGAAACAACCCCATGTCAAGCCCCCATCTTGCTTTATCTCTTCAGGCTGAGGCTTTTAGATAAGGGCTGAGCGCTGGGCGCCTGTTGTGCTGGGCTCCTTCTTCTCTCTCCTTCTCCTGCTGGAGCCCACGCTTATAGCACACAGGGGGAAATGAGCACTCCTAGCTGGGCTTGCCCAGCAGCATCACCACCAGTCTCCCAAAATCACATTGTCTCAGGAAGGAGCAAAGTGGGAGGCATTAGTGGAGTATGCTCCTCATCAGGGCTGAGATTGTTCCACAGCATCCCAAGCATCCAGGGCTTTGCTTGGCTTTGGGGCATCCCAGCTCATCCTCACAACCACCCTTCTCCTTGCAGAGGACACGTACACCTCGGAGGAGCTGGTGGACCAGCAGCCTGTGCTGCTGAAGGTGATGGACACGGCTGACCAGGTGAGGCACTGGGGCACTGCTGGCGTGATCCATCTGGATTATGGCTGGATCACGTCTGGATCATGGCTGGACCACGGCTCAGCCGCAACTCTCACCCCCAGGATGGTCCCGGGAACTGCGAGCGATACCTGTGCTGGGCCAGTGCCTTCCTGGTCGTCTACAGCATCGAGGACAGGAGGAGTTTTGAGGGCTGCCAGCGCTACCTCGAGGTGCTCGCCCTGCACGCCCGGGGCTGCCAGCGCCACTGCCCCGTGCTCCTGCTGGGAAACAAGCTGGACATGGACCAGTACAGGTATGGGGCTGCTCCCGATGGGACAGAGCTCACAGATCCTCCCATCCTCCGGCTGGGATGCAAAACCCAAATCTGATTTTTTTTAAGGGTATTTCCACCCCTGTTAGTATTTGCCATGTCCTCCCACATCTCCGAGGTTCCTGCTCTCCTGCCCAGGGAATGATGTGTTTATTTTGAGCCTGTTGGTATTTTTCAGCGGGATATTTTTCAGCTGCGTGGTGAGGCAGCGTCAGCACCCCTGGCAGGGCTTGAGCCAGAGGAGCCCCTCTGGGCATGCCCTTCCTTTCTCTGCAGCCCTCTAGTCCTGGACTGGATGTGCCCGATGTGTTTTTCTGGCCTTTTGTGCCACTCTGTGGTCCCTCGGGTCCCTGAGTCAGATGCGTTGCTGAACCCCCTGTGTTCCCAGCACAGAGGTGTCTCCCCATAGAGGGGTCTCCTCCCCACTTCCCAGTGCACTGCCATCACACCCACCCCCATGTCCCTGGCACACATCCCCAGCACAGGAATCTGTGTGATTCCCCAGGGACCCACACAGCTCATTACTATGGGATTTCAGGAAAGGCTGAACTCTTTTGGACTCACATACCCTGCTTGTCTCAGAGGGTCACAAGTGAGTGCTACCCTTGTGCCCACCGGGAAGCAGGCATGGGATGCAGGGTCCACTGCCTGCACCCTTTTCAGGAGGCTGCAGTGCCCCAAGGGATCCTGCAGCCATTCCCCTCCGCTCTCGCCAGGCAGGTGCCCTCAGCCGAAGGGATGTCCCTGGCCAGCAGGTTCGGGTGCCTCTTCCACGAGGTGTCAGCGTGCCAGGACTTCACGGGGGTGCAGCACGTCTTCCACGAGGCCGTGCGGGCGGTGCGGCGCCAGGCGGAGTGGAACCCGCCCGCCCGGCCGCTCCTCATCACCGAGGACCGGCCCTGCCCGCCGGTGGCCACGGCCCTGGCCCTGCCCACCCACCACGGCTTGGCCACCTGCACCTTCAACACCCTCTCCACCGTCAACTACAAGGAGATCCCCTCAGTGGCCCAGGCCAAGCTGGTCACCGTCAAGTCCTCGCGGGCTCAGAGCAAGAGGAAGGCTCCCACGCTCACTTTGTTGAAAGGCTTCAAGATATTTTAGGACACATTCCTGTGGGCTGTGGAGAGGGAGGTGAGAGACCCTCACCCATCCCCCTGGCTCTGCAAGGGCTGAGACCTTCTGTGATGGACTCGCAGGCATCTCAGCAGCTGCTGGCAGGTGGTGGCCCTGATCTCTGTGCCAGTGCAGAGCCAGCAGTGGCAACTTGGCAAGCAGGAGGGTGCCAACATGTTGCATTGCTCTGCCTGCCCCTACCCAGCACTGCTGTGGTGTTTGTACCCTGTCCTGCCACTGGCACCGGGGCCAGCTCGGTTTTCCATGAAGATCCAGCAACTCCTGGAGGAGCCGGAGCCATGGGCACCACTGGGAGGGCAAGGGCCGTCCCCAGGGCCCCCAGCCAGCTTGGGCACCTGGCACACAGCGACAGGAGCCCAGGAGGGGACAATTAATCATTAATCCAGCATGGAGGAACCCATCTCGTTCATCCCACGGGTCCCTGACTGAGCAATAAGTAGGAGGAATTTTTATTTTATTTTAAATCCAAATAAAAAAGGTGCAGATACTGTTTCAGCTGACTGAAGGCCTCAGGTGGCCCAAAACTGATTCCCACACAGCGACCTATGTCACACCAAAACTGCTGCTTTTTTAATCAACTTTTTACACTGTAGTGTCCCTTTCCAAAGGCTTTGCAAGGAGATGCTTCACTGACGAGGACATGGTCTGAAAAGCCTTTGTTTAAAAGACTGATGTATCTCCAAAAATGTCCTAAATTATTTCATGGCTTCTACGTGTGCCCAGTGAAGGGCATGAAAGTAATCCTGGAGCACACCAGGGTCTGCCTGTGCCTGAACCAGGGCCAAAGGCTGGGTGTTTGGTTTCAGGTGCTCTATCAGGTTAAATGTTTTGCTTCTCCCTGGAGTTTCAGTTACTCTGCAGAGTAAAATATCCATGTGTATATTTGTACATATATCCATATATATATATATATATATGACCTTACTGATAGAGAGAGATTCAATATGGGATTTTGATCCACCACTTTGGAAAGTATTTTAATAAAGATGATTTCTGAAAAGAATACAGTGTGGCTGTTTTCTTGATGGGAAGTGGCTGACTGCAGGACAAGCCTCCCACCTCCTACCTCCTGCCCTGGCTTAGCTCCCAGCTGTTTGCAGCACCTGAGGGAAGGGGTGAAGCTGGTGCCAGAGGGAAGGCTGGAGGCAGCCAAAACCTGCAGGGGAACATCAGCCAGGCAAGAGCTGAGCTGGAGAGGCAGGGGTTGCCTTGAGGCCAGGGCCTCTCCTCTGGGTGCAATTCTGCTGCTTTCTTCTTTTTGTCTTTTCTTTCCCCAGGCTAAACTGCATTTTTAAACTTCCATCTCTACAAAATGAGATATTCCAATACCTTCCTCAGGACCTACATGGTCTGACTTCAGCTGCTGCTATATGGCTTCCTCAGGCAGTCCCGTGTACAGGGACGTGAGGGTCCCGTCCTTCCACTGGACCACCACTTCCCCTGGTCTCTGGTTCTGGGGCACTGGCTCCTGTTTTTGTGGTTGAGCTGGACTGTATTCCTGCACAGGTATCAGGGCTTTCTTGGCATCCAGCTCAGCCTGCAGCGGGGTTTGCTCTGTGTTTCTGCTCATGAAGATCTTCCTTTTCCTGCAGGGAAGGCACAACAGGGCCATGTGGAGTGAAGCAGCAAGCCCAGCCCACTTCTGGGGGCAAGTACCCTGGTGATGGTCACAGCCTTCAATTTGCACCGTGTCCCTGGAACACACCAGGGCAAACCCCACCAGCTGCACTGTGTCAGGTAAGTGCTCTGAAGTGCTGGAGCACACACAGCTGGGGGATTCCCACTTGGAGAGCACAGTGGTCCCGATGCCAGGAGCAGCACCCAGCCAGCACTAGAGGGAGAGCTTGGCAGGCTCAGAGCATTAGTTCTTCTCTCCTCTGAAGGTGACAGCTCTGACCCAGAGGTAAGTTTTCATGCTGTAACAAACACTGAGTTGCTCCTCAGCTGCAGGGTTGTGCAGCAACAGGGGAACAGCGTGGAATGCTGACGGGGAAAGGCTGGGAGTCCTGCTCCAGAGCCTCTGCACTTACGGGAGGGCATCTCACACCACACAGTTATGGTCACTTCCCTCCCAGCAGCCCTGTTAGGCTGGGCAGAGCTGTGCAGACCCTTCACTGCTGAGGATCCAGGGTCGGGAGAAGGGAAGTGGCTTGTTCCAAGTGACACATCGGGAGAGCAGGGATCAGGCACGATTTTATAAGAAAATACCGTTCAAAGGGAGTTTGTCTTTGCTTTTCTCCCTATCAATCAGGGCTTGTCCTGTCCTGCCAAACCCCTGTGTCTGTCTGCCTGGGGGGGTTCAGCACACCATCACACACCAAAAGGTCCCCAGATTTTCCCATCTCACCTGTTTCGCACAATGTTAATGGTCAGGAGAACAAGACCCAAAATGAAGGCTGCGAGGGACAGCGCAAGGACAGAGTAATTCCATGTTGAGGCTGGGGAAAGCAGAGAGGCAGCATTAGCAGGCACAGCAAAAAGTGACACACAAAGCACAGCCAGGAATTTCCTGAGGACACCCAGGATGATCCACCCTTGACTTCACCCTTGATTTTTGTGCCTTTGACGTTGATCCTCGTGGCACTGACCTCCTCATATCAATCTGCTCCCTCCACCCTGCCAAAATCACTGGTCATCCCAGACTTTTGCTCTCTTGGCAGGCTCTGCCTGGAGAGAGGCTGAATCCCCCTCTGGGAGGAGACATTATCTCGGCAAAGCTTCCTGCCTGTCTTCACCCATGGCCTGCTTCTTCTCACCAGAGGTGAGACTGAGGCTTTGTGTGTCGGGGTAAATCCCCTCCTCCAGTAATTCCCTCAGGCATCTGTGTTAGGCAGGACAGTTAACAGCCAAGGGCTGTGTCTCAGCCCAGAAACACCAATGGCACTTACGGTCTTCTCTGCGGAAGAACCAGAGCAGCTCCTCCAGCTGTTCCTGGTCCATGCCCAGCAGAAGGGCGGCATTGCCTGCTGTGTGCTCATGCACCTGTGGGCTGGTCAGGGCAGCTGGGAAGTACCTGTTGTGCCCCGCCTTGGCTGGGGAGGAGAGAGCAGAAAGATGCAACAGTCACTCACTGCAGCCCTTCAGACAGGAGATGACCTTCCCCTTCGCTCCCAGGGTTGCCCAGCCCGTCTCTCCAATCAGGCAGAATGCAGCCCTGAGGGCACAGCCTGACCTCATCACGCACTGAGAATTGGAGAGCATTTTTGGCACAGACCCCATTATGGTGGAGCACCAGGGTTGGAAAGACCCCAGGATGCTGACAAGGCCTGTTCACATTCCCCAACAGTGCAGGTGTCTCTACCACTGGTCCCTGGGTGAGCAGCACTCACCGGTTTTCTCCTCGCACACGCTCCTGTCCGCAGCATCCTGCCACTGGGCCTTGAGGCCTCTCACGTCACCGAGAGCGACTCCTTTCCTGTTTGCCACCAGGTAGCTCTGGCTGGTGCCCAGAGGCGAGAGCAGAGAGTTGGAGCAGTCCCAGCTCGTGTAGCCCGTGCTGGCACAGAGACTTGTCTGCACTCTGTCAGCCCCCGACACAGAGAGGCAGCTCTGCGTGCCATGATTCACCAAAGAGTCGCCTTGCCAAAACCAGTCCTGGAAATCTGACTCTGGATTACAGTTCTCCAGTAATAAATTCCTATTTGTTGGACTGGCTTGTAAACACAGGTTGAATTTAGCATTTTTTATCAGAAAAGCTTCAGTGTCTACAAAGAAAACAACATATGAGTGCAGCCAACCCCAAAGCACAGGACACACACACACACACAGAGTGCAAATGGGAATGACACCCAGTTCGAGAACTGGGGGCAACTTTTCTCATGGCTGAGCCAGGCTGCTGCTGGTGTATACCAAGGAAAATGGGTCCAGAGAGAGAAGAAACCATATTTCCAGAAAGTTAAGGTCTTTGCACATGTGACCTACTTCACCCACACCATTATCCTCTAAGCCAGGACTCTACCTTGCAGCAGGAAAAATGGTATTAACCAGAAGATCTTCATATTTGTATATGCAGCTGGAATGGATCACACCTTCACCAGTGTCTCTTCAGTGGTGCAGATGCCTGGGAAAGAGACAAAGAAACTGAGCTGAGGGATAACCTGATTCCCCTCTCTGCTCCAGCTTGGTATCCAGAGAGGGGACCTCATGCACCCCTGCAGCTGTGGTGTGTTTTCTTCTGTGAACATGAGTCTGAGCTGCCAGGACAGGGTGCAGAAATCTGGGAACCACTGAGGTGACAGGGAGTGGGTGTGGCACAGGGTCTGCTGCCTGGGTTGGATCACCCTTGCCGAAGTGATCCCACGAGCTGTGAGCTCAGCTGCTGTGAGCCAGCCCCTCAACAAACCCTCTAAGCTTCCCTCCTTGCTCCCCTGACACGATCCAGAGAGAGCACATACTTTGGACAGTGCCTACCTGCTGCCAATCCATGGATGGCAGAATAAGGGTGTGGAGACGAGGAAGTGGAGGGCTGAGCTCCAAGACAAGGCAAGGCCAGCTTGCCATTGAGGTTAGGGTGTCTCCCATCCCTCAGGGAAGCAGAAGGCTCCTCCTTGACCTTTAGTCCCTCATTTGCCAATGGCATCAATCCAGCTTTTATGGCTGCTGGTCCAAATTATTTCTTAAGCCTCCTTTGGAGGGACCTGCCCTGAGCAGGGGTTCCTGGCTGTCCACTGTGAGTTGGTGAGATGTTTAAGTGGCTCTCCCCAGCCCACGGCTCACTGGCCTCACCTAAACCATCACCCACTGGCAGGTCAATGACACCACAACACACGTGTGTCCCTCAGGCACTCTGGCCCCACAGGCCATTAATTATTATATGAATTATTATATACTTTTATGACAGTCTGATACTCTCAACTTTCACCTGCCTTTGTCGTGTGGCCTGGAGCTGTCTGAAACTGTTCCCTGGGAAACTGCTCATGGCCACATTCCACTGCGCCAGGCGTGTCAACAATGCTGCTGCTGACTCCTCGGGGAAGCATTTGTCCCCTCGGTTATAGACCTAATGATTGCTACTATTTAGCCCCCATTCTCAATGTCTTCACAATTCAAAGTTCAGATTTTATAGCCAACCAGGCATGCAGGCTTGCTCCCTGCTGCCAGAAAACCACCTGCTAGCAATTCTTTGAGGAGGGGACTCTCAAGTACATGCGTGGTCCACTTTGTATTTCGGAAAATGTGGGTAAACCTGCTCCCTGCAGTGAGGTGTGCCAATTACCTTCCCATCCAGGTAACCTTTAGCTTGTTCACATGGATCACCCCTCACAAAGGAGGAAATAAAGTCTTGATGCCAATGAAAATAAGTTACAACTCAGCTACACCCTAATGAGAAGTGGCACTTGAATGTGTTAAATCTTGCTGTGCAAGGCTTCTGACTAATCATTTGCTCGAACAGAAATATTTGACAAGCATGGTGCTGATTTTCTCCTAAGGTGTTTCATAACTTGTGGGCCACCTCCCGGTGTCCATGCACAGCAGGGATGCTGGAAAGCTGCTGGAAGTACTTCACTGCTTCATAAAGTAGTGACCAACTGCCAAGTCTCCCCAGAGGTGGGAGGCCAGAACTTCTCAGGTACAACACAGCAGCAGAACGGATATTTATTGTGCGTTAACAGGAAATTTAGGTAAAATACTTTAAAGGAAACTCCTGTTATTTTATTGATCTTTTACCTGTACATCACACTAACCAAACTAGTTTCATTCATCAAAGCTCCAAAACAGTGTTCTCAGGCCAGCTCACCCCAGAGGAGAGCTTGAGCACAATCCAGAACTCTGCCTGCAACACCAGTTTCCCCAGCAAGGAAACAGTGAGTCTCACAATTCTGATGAGTTTGGATCTTCCAGTCTGAAAGAGAGATTTTTAAAGCCATCTCCTCCAGCCTCCCCCACACAGCTGCTCCATCCTGCTGCCCACACCCCAGTGTGGGTGAGCACTACTTCACCAGACATGCTGGGAGATCGTGGGGGATGTTCTCCATCGCTGCCCTGCCTGCACATCTCAGCAGTGACTCTGGCTGCTGATGGATGGGGATGAGCCCTTGGATCCAGGTCTTTGCAACTCCAAGCTGCAGACTTCGGTCTTCTATCCCTCTGGAGACATCCAAGACCCTTCTGAGGTTGCTTCCCAGCTCAGGTACAACATGGGAAGCTCAAATGAGAGAGAGCTGGTGCATTTTATGCTATATTGATATAAGTAAAGATGGGGAATAATCTTCTAGAAAGACCATCAAGCACAGCTTCTGTTAAGACGATAATGTCCCTCTGGACTCCCTGCTCAATACTCACTACACAATATGGGACGATGCATTTAGAACATATCAGTCTTTCCAAAAACAGTCTCCTCTTGTCATCCAGACTCTCTCTGGTGATTATCTTATCTTAACTGATGGCATTAAAATGCGTCAGTTATTCCAAATGCAGTATAAAAGTGGGATGCTCTGTCTTTGGGATTCATGGAGGATATACAATGGCACATCTCAGAGATGCAAATGGATGGGTTGGTTTATAGAAGTACATTAAGCACTGAGTTCCATTACAGAACACAAAAAAAAAATGTTTAATATTTAAAATATTAAAGCAAGAAGGCAGTTTGTCCTCTTTGTTAACCATTGTGAAGCCAAAAGTTAAAGAGCAAATCTGAGTTATATTATAAATTTTCCTTTGACTGCTTCCCAGGCTTTTATATGCAGGAGTTATCCCAGCCTGCTTCTCACTTGCTATCCAGTCTCTCCTTAAACAGCCTTCACTTAAAATTTCCAAGGATTTGAGCTTTCTAGCTGGAATAAATAAATAAAGAAACCTTTCTTTACAGATAGCTATAAATTAACCCAGCAGCTGGTGCAGCAGGAATGCCCGTTAATCTCCATTAACTCACCAGAAACAGGCAGTTCCCAGCAGGGAGGAAGCTACATTTCTTCTTTCAGCCCTGTCATCCCAAGACGTCTCCTCCGAGCTCCCATCAGTGGTAATGTCACTGTGGCAATGCAGTGACAAGGTTCCCTGTCCTCCTGCTCTGGATGTGCTACAAGCTGTGATTCATTCTGCTCCTGAGTCATGTGTGAAGGCCAGTCCAACAGGTGAGGTACACTCCAACCCCTGAAGAAAACACACCTCTTTACTGGGGCCATTTACAGTGTGAGGTGAATGACCTTTTCCCAAAGAATGAACTGTAGGAACTTCCAGTCTATTTGCTGAAGCTATTGGCACAATCAGTATTAAAAGAGCACACTGAGCAGAATGACACTCAGTAATAAGTTACCCTGGAGTTAAAGATAATGTTCACTCCGCCTGCCTCTGTCCTCATTGCATACAGGAAGCATGTCCTGATAAAGCAGATATTATCCCTTTTTTTTTTTTTTTTTTAGTGAATGGTTATTCTAAGGCTCTCAGAGTATCTTACCAGAGCAATCAACTTTGCAGGCAAAGCATGATGCACCTACCAGAGATTCTGCCATCCCTGTTTCACAGGTACTGGCAACACCTGGCTAAGTCAATAGTCTGCTAAGAGGCTCTGCAGGCTGATGTGCTGCTTTTTGTGGCAGCCACGCTGGGAAAGGAGGATTCCTCCTCCCTGAACTACCTGGTTCATGGATGGAGCTGCACACTGCGAACCACACGAGATGCCTCTCAGTGATGTGCTTGGGGCACACAGCTAGCACTGGTTAGCTCCAGCTTAACTGGAGATGGGCACAGTGTCCTTATATTTGTCCTGTTCTCAGCATTTTCCTTGAAATAAAGTGTTCAAGGCCAGGTCAGATGGGGCTTGGAGCAACCTCGTCTAGGGGAAGGTGTCCCTGCCCCTGGCAAGGGTTTGGAATGAGATTATCTTTAAGGTCCCTTCCAACCCAAACCATTTTATGATTCTGTGATCTTTGGCATTGAAGTTTTGCTCCGGTGCAATTAATCCTTTGAATCCTATCTCACATCTGCATCAGAGCTTCCCTGGCTGCCCCTGTGAAATCTCATCCAGCAGACATGTGTAGTCCCAAACAGATGTCTCACTGCTCAGCCTCAGCCTGGCAGCAATCAGATGGGAGCTCAGAAATGCATCCTCCAGGAAACAAGAGCTGCTCTTGCTGGGGGAGGCAGTTCCAGCTGGGACATTCCACCACACTGCAAATTGTGCTGTCTTTCCTCTTCATTTCAAGCAGGATCATTTAGAAAGTGCCATCAGAGTAGGGAAGGCTTTTCCAGTGCCCTTGTGATCTTTGCAGTGCCAGGGAAGGGGTAGAGGAACAGGCCAGCAAGAGGTCTCACAAGCTGCACAACCAAATCCTCTGGCTTTGGGAAAGGTACAGAAAAGACACCTGGTCCCAGAGTAATCTCAGAGTAGAAGGATAGAGATGCTGCCCATGGTGAAGAGGTGACTGTAATGGGTGGATGGTGACCTCAAAGCCCCAGAAGGTTCCTTTTCATCCCAATTTTCTACATGGCTTGATTTATGTATCTATGTTTTAATTACAAAAAAATCATTTCCCCAAGTGCTGTGTGGAAGCTGGGCATGATGGTATAATCCACATTTTCCTAACCAAAACCAGGTGGAAAAGCCTGATCAGAGGACACAGAGTACCTGTGGCTCCTGGGACATCACAGGCACCTCTGCAGCTCCACAGTGACCACCTGGTTCCAGTCCTGCCTTGGGCTGTTTGTAGGAAATGTGTCCAACAGCTCCTCCCATATGGGAGACCCCACATCCCTCCTGCAGCCCTTGCAAGCCCAGTGTCCCCCAGGCAGTAGTGAAGCCATGGGTGGCCTCCACTCCATCCCTGGGGTGGAGTGGTGTGGCTCAGGGACAAGCCTCAGTGCACCAGCACTGCAGCTCCTGTTCCACCCATGATAACCCCCCAAAAACAGTGTCAGGATGCAGGTAAGTGGCTGAGCTGGACTCAGCGTGATGTACATGGAAATAAAAACAGTTTCCCACTGGTTAGAGTTGGCTCTTGTGCCCAGTAATTCTCTCCTTTTCCAGAGAACCGTGAATGGCTTCAGGAGAAACCTCTTCAGCAAGGCTGTGAGTGTTTGATTTTTTGTCTCCCCTGACAACACTGGCACTGGTTAATGGGCAATATCTTTTTACTTCTTGGAGACACTTTCATTGTCTTGGCCAGGAAGCAAAGTGCAGATAAGATGTTGATTTGTGTTCTGCTTCTTCCTCGGATCTGTCTTCACTAATCTTGGGAAGAGCTTGTCTGACCTCGGTGTTTTAATTTTGCTTATCTTTTTTGATCCCTTCAGTGTCTTTGACCTGAAATGCCTGGTTACAGAATAACTAAACATGCAGGGTTGGTTTTTTTTTTTCCCTTCCATGTACAAAAGCAGAGTTCAAATGCAGCAGAAAAGCTAGATTTTTTTTTTGTGTGTGTGAAACAATCAGATAATTGCTTTCATTTTGAAAAAAATTTATATCAAGATAAATCTTCAGTTAAAATACACGTACACTGTGTCCAAGGCATAATACTGAATAACAGGCATAATCTGTTTGAACTGTGCAGTAGGATCAGAGCCGAGGATGAATCACTTGGGAGAAAGTGTACTTGGGGGAATTTAAGTCCACCTCATAAACTCACTACAAATGTAACATTAATTACTTCATGTGTAAGTCTGGCAAAAGTTCAGCATGGAGTTACAATATTTCCAGGAGCCTTAACTACTGCCAGAAGTGAGAATTCATCTCCAGGGTTTAAGTCCTAGAGGAGCAGCAGGTGAAGCTTCACACATGGTGCTGAGGACACATTCAGTGCCTGGATCTGATACCTGGAAATGAACACCGAGCAGCACCTGGATTCTGGGTTCAGACTCCCAGCTTTCGGGTGGCATTTGGGCCATCCAGACACACAGGTACATCCCTGGCCTTTCTGAAGTGCTGGTAATAAATCCAGGGCTTTGCCCAAGACCTCAGAGAACTGGTATTCGCTGTCACCACACAGGACGTCTCCTTCCAGCCTTCCAGCCAGCGACTGTGCAGCACCCCTGGAAGCCATGAGTATTTTCCAGCATCTGAGGTATTATGTGGTCAAATTTTTCAGCATCTGATATAAGGGCTGAAATTACACGCTGTGCAGAACACTGCTTCCTCTCTTTAAGGGCCTGATACCCATAAGTGTCTGTAATCACTTGGTTATTGTGCAACAACTAATTGTCCCCTGTTTATGATAAGTCAGACCATTTACCTGCCCTTCTTCCCCATCTTCTTTCCAAGATGAACCATGCTGGGAGCTTTACTCTCTTCTCAAGCAGAAGCCATTCCTTCATCCTTGCTACCCTCTTGTTTATATTTTTAACTATATCCTTTCATTTATGCACTGAGATGAGGTAGCTGGAATTGTGGAATTGAAGACTGTCCTGTACACAACCGAGCTGAGGATTTTTATGGGATTTCCAAAGTAATAGGAAATTATAAATTCTTTTGAGCAATTGATTTTTACATATTGATTAGGAAATTACCTCTGTATTTGGTAGCATATTCTCCTTATCTCAGTGTGCAGGAACGGAAGAACCTCCGTTAGGATAGCCTGGCTCATTTTTTTCCTAACATGTAACAGCCCTTTCTCATTAGTTTTCCTGTGTTTCTACCACTGAAAATGGTGGTGTCTTCAATGTTTGAGAGAAGAAAACCATAATGATGGGCATACAGACATGAAGAATGAATATGCACAGCATTGCTTAGTGTGGCACAAAATTTCACTTTCCTTTTTGATCCTTCTCTCGTGTATCCAACATAAAATTCTACTATTCCTTTTCCAAGTAATTTACATGTTTTCACTGGCATATAGGAAATGTTTCCAGATTCTCACACTCCCTGCTGCAGAAATTCCTAGTGGCAAAGACTGTAGGATAAACTGTGATTTAGATGAGCAAGGGAATCTCTGTATGTGATTTACATTAATAGCTACACAAATAAACCATCTTCCCATGCGGGGAAAGAATGTTCTTAGCAGAATGATAAAATATTTTCATACTTATGTTATGGGAGAAGACAGTTCTTTAAGTGGTGATTCTGACCCCATAGTTTACAAGAAAACATTCTTTGAGTTATTGTCACTGTTAAAATGAAGCTGTCCATGGAGGCAGACAATGAAATCAGCTTTTCAAATGCTGTCAGAGCAGTGGCTGCGGGGTCAACACCCCTTTCTGCCCACAATGTTTTTCCATGTTATCTTTGCACTGAGGCAGCACAGACAATTCATGCTCAGGGTTACAGGGCTGTGGCCACAGTGACACTGCTTGGGAGCACCGACACTAGGGGGCTGGAGCTGTCAGAGCTGCACAGACCCCAAGAGCTGCCCTGACAGCCCCACCACCCCACACCACGATCACAGAACCACAGAGATGTCAGGGTTGGAACCACAGAGATGTCCAGTCCAACCTCCCTGCCAAGGCAGGGTCACCCAGAGCAGGTGACACAGGAACGTGTCCAGGTGGGTTTGGGATGTCTGCAGAGAGGGAGACTCCGTGCCCTTCCTGGGCAGCCCGTTACAGTGCTCTGCCACCCTCAACATAAAGAAGTTCTTCCTCATGTTGAGGTGGAACTTGTTGTGTTTTTGTTTATGGCCATTGCTCCTTGTCTTGTCACTGGGCACTATTGAAAGGAGTCTGAGACCAGTTGGTACCCACCTCTGAGATATTTATATGCATTAATGAGATCCATTCCAACCCCATAACATTCTATGATTCTACAATTCTACAGTATGAGGTTTGACAAGGGCAAGTGCCCGATTCTGCACCTGAGACAGGGCAATCCTGGCTGTGTGTATAGACTGGGGAATGAGAGGCTGGAGAGCAGTTGTGGGAAGAGACCTGGGGGTCCTGGTTGGTGGCCAGTTGGCCATGAGTCAGCAGTGCCCTGGCAGCCAGGAGGGCCAACCACGTCCTGGGGGGCATGAGGAACAGCATCGCTGGTGGAGTGAGGTGATTTGTCTCGCTCTGCTCTGCGCTGGTACAGCCTCACCTCGAGTCCTAGGGGCAGCTTCAGGCACCAGAAAATCAAAAAGACATATAAGCTATTGGAGAGTATCCAAAGGAGAGCCACAAGGATGGTAAAGGGTCTGGAGGGGAAGCCACGTGAGGAGTGGCTGAGGCCATTTGGCTTGTTCAGCCTGGAGGAGACTGAGGGGCCACCTCATGGGGATCTCCAGCACCCTCACGAGGGGCAGCGCAGGGGCAGGTACCGATCTGTTCACCCTCGTGAACAGTAACAGGACCCGAGGGAACGGCATGAAGCTGAGTCAGGGGGTGTTTAGGCTGCATATCAAGAGGAGGGTTTTCACCCAAAGGGTGGCCGGGCACTGGAACAGGCTCCCCAGGGCAGTGCTCACAGCACCGAGCTCGAGTTCAAGAAGCGTTTGGACAACACGGTGAGATTGCTGCAGTGTCCTGCGCAGGGCCAGGAGTGGGACCCGATGACCGTGTCGTGTCCCTCGCAGCTCGGGACACTCTATAAGTGCACGGGGTACCGCCGCTGCCCGCGGCCCCGCAGCGCTGAGGGGCGGCCCCGCCCCGGGGCGGGTCCCGGCGCGTCATCGCGGCGCGCGGGGAGCCCCGCGATGCGGGCCCGGCTGCTGCGCGCCTGGCGCGAGGGGCCGCCATGGCGGGTCCTGTTCTTCGGCACAGACCGCTTCGCCGTCACCGCCCTGCGAGCGCTGCGGGCCGCCGGGTACCGCCGCCAGAGGGGGGACGGGCCTGGGGGAGGACGGGCCTGAGGGGACACGGGGCAGTGAGAGGGGCCTCAGGGGGAGTCGGGCTCTGAGGGGCGCGGAGCCTGAGGGGCTGTGGAGGGTGAGGGAGGGCTGAGCACTGAGGGATGGGAGATGAAGCCGGTGATGGGGCTCGGGGGTCACTGGGGCACGAGGAGGGGTCGGGACCGTGGGTTGGGCAGAGGGTGGTAGGGAAGAGGAGGGGAAGGAGCCTGAGGGTGGGACAGGGACCGCGGAGGTATTAGTCGGTCCATGCACCAGGATCACAGAGACTGGGGGGGTTGTGAGGAGGTCTGGGGTTCAAGGGTGGTGAGGGGGCTGAGGGCAGGGTCAGGGAAGGGGGATCAGGGAGGGGGTAGGGGATGGAGGGGCAAGTGCTGTGGAAGGGCACAGGGGCACAGCGAGGGGTGGAGGTGACCCAGCCCTCGCCTCTCCCTTGCTCTACCATTACAAGGCCTTCAACTCCTTGTCCCTCCAGAGAGCCCAGCGAGGACCCGCTCGTGTCGCGGCTGGAGGTGGTGACCCTGCCGTCCCGCCTGCCCGGGGACCTGCCCGTGAGGAGCTGTGCCCGGGAGCTCCAGCTGCCTGTGCACGAGTGGCCGCACACGGGGCCCGCGGGGCAGTTCGATGTGGGGGTGGTGGCATCGTTCGGACGCCTCCTGAGCGAGGACCTGATTCTGCAGTTCCCATAGTAAGTGAGTGGACAGGACATCTGTCACTGTACTCTGGTTTTGAGTCAGCACCTGTGACTTGTAGGAAGTGAGGTCAGCATACCTGGGATGTGAAGTTCATTGTCTTTGAACACATTGATGCAAATTTATGCAAATGTTCAGGAGAATGTGTTTACCTTTATTCCTCTCATCTCTCTTTCTGTATTTGCTGAGAAACTGAAGTTTATAGAGTGTGAATTTTCCTTTAGGTGTATATTTAAGCCAGTAAGACTTCAGATGGTCTGAGCAGATAATTCTGAAAGTAGTTTTACTGTCATGTGTGTTGCACACCCATTTATGTGTGCTCCAAGTACTGTTCCTGTTCTAACTTTGAATTTCATTTTAGTGGTGTTCTGAACATCCATCCCAGCTGTCTCCCACGATGGCGTGGTCCTGCACCCGTAGTCCACACTGTGCTTCATGGTGATAGAGTGACTGGGGTAACAATTATGGAAATAAGACCAAAAAGGTAGGTTTGATGTGCCTTTCAAGCAACTCACTGCTGTTGTTGCCTCTCAGGACTTTAAATCATCACCACTGAAATAATAATTTAAATCAGTCTATATAATGACTATTATTTAATATGTGTGTTTAATATTAAAATTAGAAACACTTAAAAATGTTCATCTGACCATATGAGATTTGTCACAAATACAGTATTTTAGTGAGTGTGTAATTTGCACTCCAAGCCTGTTCTCTAATCATTGGCATTATTACAGGGAGCAGACAGAACAGTCACACAGCTCTATCAATAGACTTGATATGACAGGACATAAAAGATCTGGTTTTCAGACTTCAGAGTCACCTGTAAGTGAACAGAGGACAAGCAGTTACCTGTCTAGGCATGAGACAGTTTATATAGTTTAGTTTCAGCCCAAAATCTGGCTTAAAAGGCTTGTGGAAACACGTTATCCTAGTTACCTTTTCTTACATGCTTGTCTGGTAATAGATCTTAGGAAAGTGCAAAAAAAATTTCCTCTGAGTACTTCAGGTTGTTTCTTCTGAGATCTCATGTTCTGAACTGTGAATTGTGTGTTATATCAGCCCAAGCTTGCTGAGGTGAATCTTGTTGCTGAGATAGATCTGATACTCTCTTCCCTGTGTAGTCTTGCGAACCAAACATTTGATAATGTGAAAATGACATGTGGAAAGTACTTTCAGAGGGGGAAAAAGGGGTAATTAGTAACTGAGTTAATGTACTGAATGTAGGGTTTTGAACTGCTAATTGAGTTTCAGCTCCTCCAGTAAACTCATGTGTTTTCTTCCTCGCAGGTTTGATGTAGGTCCAATTATTAAGCAAGAAGAGGTTGCTGTTCCTCCCCACTGTACAGCACAGGAGCTGGAAGGGATATTAGCAAAGATGGGTGCAAACATGGTAAAGTCCTGCCAACTCTGTCACTTCTAATTAGTACCTCGCTTTGAACACGTGCAAACAGAATTCTTATCAATCTTGTTCTGAGTTAACTGCAGCTTAAAAGGAGAATGATCTGAAACTTGGTGCTGTGTTTGGAAACGGTGCAGGTTCTTCTTTCATTGAAGTGAATATCTACTTTTTCATCTTAATAATCAGCTTCTGTCCTCTTCTGGAATAAATATCTGAGAGGATATAATCCGTTAAAAAATACTTGTGGTTTTTTTAATTGTAATTCAGTGGGAAGAATGCCTTTAGTGTATCTGTGTGTATGATACAAGTCTTATATACTTCTTATATACTTACCCAGTTTTCTAAAAGCTCACAAGAAAGTTTCACTATTGAAAAATTGAGTTTTACTTTGTTTATTATTGCTTGAACTTAGCTTGGCTAATACCCTGTTCAAAATTTATTTTGCAGCTGTTGGCAGTTTTGAAAAACTTGCCTGAAAGCTTAAAAAACAAAAAAGAGCAGCCAAAAGAAGGAGTAACATTTGGTAGGTATACATACTGTTTAATGTGACTTGGTAATTTTTTTTTTTTATCAGCTGGAAAACTAAGTTTCCTGCTGTGCTGGGTTGTATTTTTGTTTAGATTCCTTTCTCAGTATGGTCTCTTCACTGCCTTCTCTGTCTTAAAAATGCTTCAGAAATCTCCAGACTTACTACATTGCGTTTATTTTTTCAGAGTGGCTTTGTCAATATCAAAATCAGTGGTGATGTCACAAAATCTGAGTTTGTTACTCTTCATGGTTGTAATGCAGACAAAAGGGTTACAGCTGTGTTTGTAAACATGTTGTCAGTTTGCAGTGCAATGGGTAAATAGGAGAACAACTGAGAATTAAATATAAATAATCCAAACTGAGGTTTTTACAAAACCTTTTCTCCAGTTGTTGTCTGAGGTACCTGTGGCTGGATGGTAAACCTGCCATTGGTCAGGATAAACTGAGGTTTAAAATAGGATAAAGTAGCACAGCTGTTTGTTTTTGCAAAAAGATGCAAAACAAGCTATTAAATCTTCTGATTTCTTTTTCCCCTCCTTAGCTCCTAAAATTTCTATAGCAAAGAGTTGTATAAAATGGGAGGAGCAAACAGCTAAACAAATAATTCAACTGCATCGTGCAATAGGAAGTATGGTAAGACAGTGGATTTATTTGAACCCTTTTCTGACCTCTAGCATGGCTGACATTGGTGTAGGTATTTTAACTGATGACTGAACCTCAAATTTAGTTATTTTAGCCTCTGTAATTTTAGCATGTGTTTTAAAATCCTGATAGTTTAGCACTGGAGGTGGAATTAATGTGAAGGAGAATTCTTGTGAACTTGATGCCAAGTGTGAAATCAGCTCAGTAATTTTATATTGTTCCCTTAGCTCTGAGATTTCCCCTGATTGTTTGAGAGGGTTTAAAACACTACAGTGACATTTCTGCATGAGAGTAAACACTGCAAACAGCTACAGTGAAAGGGCTGTTGTAGCTAATTGCTTAACTCAGTCCCAGATATGATAATGGTTAGAGATGAGGAAGAACAAGGAAAGTCTCCTATCTAGACATATATATATAAATTTTCCCCTAATGATATCATCATAGGTATTTTGCATAAGAAAAAAAACCCACTAGACAGTTGCCTGGAAATTGTGAATATATTCTCACCGTGTCATCTGCTTCTGTTTCCAGTTTCCTTTGCAGACGCTCTGGAAGGGCACTACTGTTAAACTTCTGGATTTTGTGGAAGTGGATAATATCCCTGGTTTTGCTGGTATTTACTTTTAAATTAATCCGTTAAGTTAAATTTTATAACCATTTTCTGCAGGAATCCGAACGCTATGTTGGCTGAGGGATGTGCCAGAGCAAACAGTTAGTGAGTGTTCATGGATCAGATGCAGTGCCAGAGGGTGACTGTTCTGATTCTTCCTGCTCATTTGGTTATAATAAAACACAGAATACAATAAAATACTTTTGAGCAAAATATTGACACAAGATTGTTATCATGCTTCAAAGAGACAGAATTGTTTCAAACTTTCTCTGCGCTCGTTGGCATAAAAATGCAAGATGATCTTGCTTTGGTTTTAGATCAAATACTAAATGACTGTGAAGCTGTTCCTGGTTCACTGCTGTTCCATAAAGTGTCCCAGACACTGATAGTTCGATGCAAGGTAGGCTTTTCCAATTTGTTTTATATTCACTGTCAAGATGAGGTTTTTAGTATTCGTGTATTGCGTAACTTTTGTTTTAATTGTCCATTTTTATTCTCTGTACTACTTTACATTAGCACAAGACTTTTTGTTTGTTACCTTAAACTTTTAATTTCCACTAACAGGCTTTGCACGTGCAAGCAAGAATTTTGACTTGTAAACCTGATGACATTAAACAAAATGTATTCTGTAAGCCAGCCAACGAGAGCTAAAGATAATTTTAAAATGTGGAAGAAACTTATGCCATTTTTTTTTGTTTTTATTTCTAGGAAGGCTGGGTTGGAATCAAAACAGTCATATTAAAGAAGAAGCTTACAGCAGTTGACTTCTACAACGGATATATGCACTTTTGGTTCCAACAGAGTCCACGGACAGTTCATCAGGAATGCAGATTTCAAACACTCAAACTTAGCACAGCAAAAAAAGACTCTGAAAGAGAGGGGACTATTGGCACAGGATATAAAACAATAGATGTATTTTAAAATGTCTGTAAGTTAATAGAAATATAAAATATTTCAAAGCCCACCTATAACATTCAGCTTAATTAAGGGTTTCCTCCGAAAGTGTTTGATCCTACTGTCATCTGCATATTTTCATCGTGGGTTCCTGATTCCTCCTCTTTCCCCATGAAGGAGGAGAGTCTCTGAATGCTGAAGGTGGTAAATAAAATCCCCATTTCCACTGTTGAGAAATAAATTTATTTTTATACAACGTTTTCAATTTCTCTTCGAGGACTTTTGGTATAATCTTCCTCAGGGATAAATTTTGCACAGTTACTTTGATATGAAAATATTAAAGTCCAGTGCTTCTCTAATTCAGAGTTTAGTGCTCACTGAGACTTAGACTATCTAGTTTGATTTTCTTGTGGACCTTAAAACGCCCTTTGTATCCCCACAGTGAGATTAATAACTTAGCTGTGAAGGTCTAGAGAATCTTTTCTTGCCCATGGTAATTTTCTTCCTTCTCCTTTCTGTTTTCATATCTTTGGATACATCCCATTTAATATTAGTGTGCCATCCATCCAGAAAGTTTACATTCTACTATGGTACTTTCTCCATGATGAGGAGTTAATCTAATCCAAGCTTTTCCTCAGCCTTTGGTTAATGACATATATGAGTATTTCATGTGAAGAACCCCAAAATTGGTGACCCTTTTAAACTTTCTTTTTTTAGAAGTAAGGTAGCACTGTGAGGATAACGGCAAAATGAAGACTGGCCACATCTTAGGAGCTGCTCTGATGTTATTTGCTCAACATTTTCCTGTTTTTTTCTGAGTTCTACTGAAGTAAAAGCAAAAAATCTAGAAGAATGTGTTACATGACAAGGATTAAAATGTTTCTGAAGAAGCATCTGTTAAAGCAGATGCTGCTGTATTTTTCTTTAATTGCCATTGGTCCGACATTAATCTGCCTCTGACAGGTTTTCCAAAACACACGGTCCTCCAAGAAATCCAAGCCTATGAATCAGAGTCAGAAACTGGAAACAGCAGCAAGGTGGAAGTCAGGCTGCTGTGGAGAATTCCTGTTGCCTCTGGCTGCAGACTCAGTGCAGTTTGTGCTGCAGAAGATCTAAATCTGGCAAGTTAATTTCCGAGCAAATGATGTATTTTTGTGTTTTGCTCCTACCCACTCCTTGGAAGTGAAGGTTGTGGAGTCATTTTGCTTTTAGTCTGTTTAGATCAGTCTGTGACAGGTTAGTTATTGCCTTATGCCAGTAGAAAGGTGGGTGGGTGAGTGATTTTTTTTTTGTGGTTTTCGGGAAAGTGGTGGTTTTGGGAGTTTTCTGCGTTTTACTACATCAGTGGTCATAACTGCATGGCTGCTTGCCTTGTGTTTTCCCTGCTGGAGCTTCTGGGAATTTTTCATCAGTTATTTTTAAAGAATGTTTATATTCATCATTGGAATTCAAATATTCAATGTTTGCTGAGGATAAGAACATTTTTTCTCTTTCCCCACAGACAGGTTTTTGACACTAATCAGCTGCATGATGGGGCTCTGGCCTCAGGCATGGATTGTATCAGAATTTGAATTAGCAGAGAAATTAGTCTACCAAAATAAAATCCCACCCAAAACTCCACCACCACAATTTAGAGATAATTTTAAGCACTAATGATAAAGAATTTTGGATTTATGAGAAGTATTTTAGTTAACTGGGACTCAACAATTTTAGTGTTTCAGGACCCAACTTTTCTGGTGTCCCAGGTCCCTGGGCACTGGAAGATGAATCGTGATTCATTTATGACCTGAACAAAATGAACAGTGAGGTGTGACTCCTACAGAAAGAATGCAGTGTCAAAAGTTCAGACACAAAAGTCGAGATTAAAAGTTCTTAGATAACCAAACTCTTAAATGAACCACTTTGTTCCTACGAATGACTTGAAGAAAATTCTTTAATTTATTTGTGTATGGTTTTTTGTCAGTTTTAGATGGAGCCTCGTGTGAGACCTATTGCTGTCAGTTATTGCTGGCTGGCAGCAATTCCAGTTCTCACTAAAGCATAGAGCAACAGGGAGGAGTTTCCCTGCGTTTTTGGGAAGTTCGAGGTGGCATGTGCCCAGGATCCCTGTAGATGGAGCTCGCTGCATCTCTTTTGGGCAAAACCCCAGGTCAGCTGGACAGAAGATGGTGAAAATCTGGTACAGAATGTCTTCAGTGAGTTGTTTAATAGCAAGTAATGTCTAAACCATATTGCAGCCAGGGTACCTGTACTTGTAACTTAATCTTTTCATCTCTGCAGTTTGCTTTAAGGCTTCACTTGCTTTCTACACAAGAAGTTATAAAAGATTGGACAGTTCTGTGTCGCTTAACAGTTTATATCTTAGCTCTGAATATGCACAACTTTACCCCAGTTGTGCAAAAGAAGGTAAGGTTAATTTATTTTTTTTATGGAGGAAATCTTTGGCATGCTATTTTTGGCATATGGGGAAGCTTTAAAGGGAATTGGTGTTCCCCAGGCAGCTGTTAGCCAAAATGTCTCTTTGGAAACTTTGCTTTCACCTGGCTCTGTTGGGATTTGACTCAGTAGGTAATGAAAATCTGATTATTTTTGCAGAACAGACAAAACAAAAATGGGGCTTTCACTGATGAAGTGTGGAATAGCATGTCAGGGTTGACTCTGGAACACAAGTCACAGTGATTCAATCCCCAGCGCTGCTGCTAAAGTTGAGTACAGCCACTCTGGCCATTGGAAGGGGATCCTAGCAAAATAAAACAGCTGTTCTCCTCTCAGGGGACGGAGGGAAAGTAGCAGAGGTATTCATAGACCCAGCCTCCACCATAGCTCAGTTTAACATCACTGAGGCCAAATTACTGGCAGAACTGCAGAATGTTTGGGCACCAGAAGGGCTCTGGTGTTGGATTAGGGATGATTTCATTATGGAATTCAAACAAGTGTTAGAGGGAGTGATATTTCCCAGGATGCTGGTGACTCGCAGTTAGATGCATGTTTCGTGTTCCATGAGCTTCCCACTTCCCCTGCTTCCTAGGAAACCTTTTTATTCCTGTTCTCTGAATAATTACAAAAAATGTAAGTGACTAATCAGAGGAATACTTGAGTCTTTTTATAAAGTTACATGCAAAACCCCCAAATAATTTTGAAAGTTGAGGCTAGACAAGAACATCTCGCCTTTTGTTTATCCCAACTGCTGACATCCTGGTAGCTTCTGGGAAGCAATAGTTTCCTTTTTTTAGAAACAGGATGGAGGGATAGGTCACTGGATTTATCTGAGGGTTGGAAACTAAGTGACCTTAATGGAAGATGCTTTGCCATCAGCCACAAACCTGCTGCTGTTTAGGAGCCAGGTCTCCTGCTTCAGCCTGTTCCTCAAGGTTGGTGGTCTGAAGGCTAAGGCTGAGGGAGGAGCTGAGTCCCAGCCTCCCTGCATTCCTCCAGCTGATCCTCTCCTTTGATATGTGGGAGTGTGGGTTAGGTTTCAGGCTGCAGAAAGGACATTGCCATAGGCTGACCATAAACACAAGCTGGAGAAGTCAGAACTGACATTGAACTGTAGCATAAAACCTGTGTGAGTGGGCGACGCCAGGACCTGGTGCAGCTTTTCTTCTATATAAACTTGCTTAATGTATTTGGAATGATGGTGAAGTGTTAGCACTGAGTGGTGCTTGTGGGACCAAGGTTGTTTTCTGGTGGTAGTGCTTGAGCACCCGTGTTTGAAACCTCTGTCTTGCTCTGTGTCCAACACACTCTGCCAGCAGCCTCAGAGAGCTCAGGGACTCAGTGAGTGCACAGATTAGTTTGTTCCTCCAAGTTAGTGCTAAGCTGCAGAGGGGGACAGTCTGGGGAAACTTGGAGAGCTCCTGGCTGTTCCAGGCTGTAGGGCTGTGACCGTTTCAGTGCTGTTAAACAGACATCTCTCCCCAGGAGGAAGAGCCCTGTACTCTGCTGTGTTTGATTGACGAGCCCACATGCGGCACAGGGATCGTCTCCTGAGCCTGCTTTCATCCATTTATCTCCTGGGTTGGTCTGTAAAAGTCATTTGTGTTACTTCACCCTTAAAGTGATGAAACTAAGTTTGGGATTTGGCTATCTGTCTGCAGAGGAGGAGGGGAGCAGAGGGAAGAGATGTTTCTCTGTGCAAGCCAAGAGCTCTGTGGGAAGGTCCAAGCTAATGCTCCCCACTGGCTGCCTTGGCTCCGGCTCGAGCCAAGCCCTTGCAGCAGACTAGACACAAAAGAAAATACACAGAGTCTAAATTGACTGGTATGAAGAGGATGTGCCAGAGTATTCCACAGCTCTTCCTTTTCTGCTTGTCTTTGATAACTGTTGATTTGCCTAAAAACCTGGATTATTAGGGGTTTTCTTTACCTTTTTAAGCATATTTCAGGCTGCCCTGTGTCAGACCTGTGAACCTGTTCTGAAGCTTGCTAAATGCTATTGAAAGATTCCCCGTGCCCTTGATGGGCTGTAGGTGTGACAGCATAGACCTAGAACTGGCTTCATATCCACCGCAGGGGACTGGGAGGAGAGGGAAATGTTTGAATTCCAGTTTGCACCCAGTAGCACTGCCCACCTATTTGTGATCTCTCTCAGTGGGAATTTCGGTGTTGGAGGCTTGCTGGCTTGTCTGCACCCTAAAAATTTATTGCCAGTGTTTGGGAGTAAACAAACACAGGATGTCTTCTGTGCTGGTGAGGTCCTTGTTGTTCTAGAAGTAGTGAGGGAAATGGAATAGGTCACTTGAGGGATCACTGCCTGACCCCTGCTGTGGCCAGCTGTGTCTTCAGCTAAGAGCAGCTTCTTGCCCAGCAGTGTCCCGCTGCTGAGTGTGAGGGAAGCCTGTCTTCTCCCTGTCCCTTCACCCAGCCCTGCTCTATATTGCCTGGTTTCCTATAATCCTTAAAGCACAGGTTCTTCCCTCCATTTTGTTTTATTCTTTAATTCATCTCTGCCCAGACCTGCTGCTCTGCTTCTCCCAGCACTGTTGCTGACTCTCCACATCTCAAGCTGGGCATAGATTCCCTGACTGCAGCATGCCATGGCCAAACCCTGGACCTGGGGGAGCACCAGGCACCCACCAAACCCCTCACTCATACCCGGGATCAGTCTCACACTGATAAAGCTGTGACCTGTTTCCGAACAGAAAGGTGAAATCCTGCAGGTTATTCCTTGCTCTGCTCTACATGTGGTTTATTTACTTGGGCATTTCAAACACAGAAGTGACACAGCGTTGTCAGAGTTACAAAATTACTTTTTTTATTAAC